TCTTACTAGTCTTGAAATGGCAGAGACATTCAGCCTAGCCTTTCACAGGCAACTAAACAGTAACGAGGATATTACCCCACAGAACATCCAGATTACATCGCAAAACCAACACGCGAAAACCTGCTGGGTACATTTCAAATTACCCCGGCTATGGTACTTGCAAAATTGGGAAGGTTGGCTTCGGGAAAGTCTTCAGGTTGTGATGACATCAGACCATCTGTCCTGAAGCAGTGTTCAGAAAGTCTCTGCCAACCCCTAAGTGATCTGTTCCAACACTCCCTTGATGTAGGGAAACTTCCATGTGAATGGAAACGAGCAATCCTATCCCCTATCTTCAAGGGTGGTGACCGGCAGAATGCGACCAGTTGCTCTACTTCCAGTGATATCGAAGATATTGGAAAGTCTCATTGACGACCACATGAGAAAATACTTCGATGGGACTAACCTTCTTCACGAAGCACAGCACGGTTTCAGGAGGGGAAGATCCTGCGTGACGAATCTTCTACTAGCTTGGAACGATTGGACACTATCCTGGGACAAAAAGGTACCAGCCCACGTGATCTTTCTCGACTTTGCGAAAGCATTCGACACAGTTCACCATGGTCTGCTCCTTCACAAAATAAGCAAGGCGGGTGTTTCTGGAGCACTTCTCGCATGGCTGAAAGATTACTTAGGCGAGAGAGAATTCTGCACCAAAGTCAACCGCATCCGATCATCCTGGCACACCTCGGCATCAGGGGTTCCTCAGGGTTCTATCCTAGGGCCGTTGATGTTTTTGATTTTTATCAACGACCTGCCCCCCAACTAAACTGCTCTGCGCTTCTTTACGCTGACGACGTAAAGATTTGGAGAGCAATAAACTCATCGGAAGACTCAGATAGATTGCAGGCTGACCTGCAAACTCTGGGAAACTGGGCTCTGGCTAACGGAATGCCTTTCAACCTAAAGAAGTGCAAAGTAGTGCAACTTCATTCCGGCAGGTCACAGAGTGTAAATTACACCCTTGGTGGCCAGAACTTGAGTTGTGTTCCATCAGAGCGTGATCTAGGTCTTATTCTAACAGAAAAGCTAGACACCAGTGGAAATTACTCGAGGGACGTCGCCAAAGCCTACGCAACATTACACTTTATGCACAGGCAGCTGGGAGCTCTCACTCCCGAACTGTTCTTAAGGTTATATAAGGCATATGTGAGGCCACACCTTGAGGTGCATAATATCATTGCACCTCCGCTACTCAAAAGGGATGCTAACATTCTAGAAAGTGTCCAGAGACGAGCGACAAAATGGGTGATCGGCCTCCGCAACAAATCATATGAGGAAAGACTAAAGAAATTAGGTCTTTTCACACTTAGTTACCGTAGGCACAGGGGAGACCTCATCACCGTCTACAAAATCCTAAATGACCAGGCCCACCCAAATAAAAGCATCCTGCCATTAAGTGATTATAGGCTTCCACGAGGTAACCCGCTAAGGATAGCACACCAGAGACCAAAGACTCGAGTGCGATCACATTTCTTTTCGCTTCGTGTTTGCCGTCTCTGGAACGCTTTACCGGCGGCCGTGACTACAGCGCCATCTGTGGAGATTTTTAAGCGGAAGCTAGACAATCATGCAGAAATGCAAGGTTTGTGTCTCAATGGCTTATCCTCATAAAACTTGAAACCAACTGTCAATGGATAAGCGTACAAACTAAATCCCCACGACCTATTCTGCCTTCTCTCACTCTATCTTTTCCTTAGGTCACCTTTATTATTCCACTTATCTCAACCTATATTATCTACACTACAACCTATTTTATTATTATTACTATTCTGCTTTTATGACTACACCGAATGACCAACGGGAGTTAGGTCAAACTCCATTCACGGCAGCAATACAGTCCTAACATACTGCATACTACAAACCACATCTCGACCAATCCCCGCACCACTCCTCCTGGAGTCTACCAGAGCTAAAGCAGTCGAGTGTCGGGACTTACTACGCAGAAGCTCACCGAAGATCTGGAACCTCTACCTCACAATCAAGAAGCGAGCTCAAAGAAATCACTGGTGTATACTAGCTCGTAACCAGGATATAGGATATTGAACTCGAGGTCACATAGTGGTCATGACAACATTTTAAAAGGCACATATATAATTGAAAGTAAATACTAGAATTTTGTGGTGTTTATGAGAAGTACCCACCACTATTTATGGCTTACTAATGAATAATGGCTCTCTGAATTATCATTTTCACCCAAATAAAGTAATTTCTGCAGAGCATCACAACATTTTAACGTTTGTTATTAATTATATTTTGATAGACATTTAACTATATAGACGAATGAAGTTCCCCAAAAGAACATTATTTGTTCGCCTAATCAAGTCTTTTGAATTTTCAGCAAATATAATTTGAAATTACTGGCTTTTCTGATTCCCCCTCCTCAGTCGGACAAATGTGTGAACTAAAGGGGGACATTTATGGGAAAACGTGGAAAAATTGGTGTGTTTAATTTCAAAAGGGGAAAAATTCGATTAAATGGGACAAGGAGGGTTGACCATGCGAAATTCCTCCAATTAATGGGAAATTATGCGAGTAGAAGTAATACATTCTGCTGATTAAGGGGAAATCGTGACGTTTTTAAAAAGCGGGGGGCAATGTGACAAAAAATGGGACAGTGTGCTTTGTCTGGGAAAAAGGCGAAAATCTCACTATCGCCCGATTTTGGGCCCTCTTTCATTCAATAGAATGTCCCGAATTTGTCCCCTTTTTTAACATGATTTTCCCCGTTTTTGTCGGATTGGGACTCAACCCATCATAAACCCGGCTAGCATTTTCCCCGGCTTCAGGGCAAAACTTTTGGACGCATTGCAGAGCGTGGGAAAGCCACCTGTATTCTGCCTCGAAATGTCTGTAACGCACCCAGAAACAGTGGTATCTGGAAAAAATGTTCTGGACTTTTCAACATAATGTCAATTTCCAATGAATCGCCTGAAGTTTGAGACAGTTTCTGCGACATGTCCCTCAAGTGATAAATGCATCAAGAGTTGATGGGGTAACAGTACTTTAAGGTGGCTCTTTAATTTCGTCCTACGATGCCTCAGGTTTTTTGAATTAGTGATGAGAATAAGGAGGAAGGTCATTCTTAAGAACTATTTCTACGTTTTTCCACATTTACCAAATCAGTTATACCTAAAGTATCACATGCATACATTCGGTGGCATCCCTACAGTATGCGCTTGTCAATATTTTGGACAAGATCCAGGTGTTTGGATGCATTTTCTCTCTGGGACTCGAAAAGACGTGGATATAGAGTGGGAAACAAATGTCACTAGGGTTTTTAGTGTATTATACCCAATCAAATCAGAATGAAATTTTTTGTGAGAATACGACATTTACTCCAAATACCTTCATACACCTAAATTACCCCTAATTACTGCATTCATTTCCACACATTTTTCGAAATTACTTCAAAGGTATTCGTCCGAGTAAAGCTTTTGACTGTAAATGGGAGATATTGTGCCACTTCTTTTAGTATTTTTAGTGTGTAATCAGAAATTGTATATTGCACTGAACACCAGTCCTTTGTCATTTTTGTCGTTTGTGCAGCCAACAGCACTAATTACTAGGTGATAAAGCAATCACAACCCTTGGTTCGTAAATATATACAGTTAATTGTATCAATGTAATATACAAACTCACGGGTGTATATCTGTATTTATTTAGCCCAGTAAGTAATCAGCCGACCAATTTGCAAATCTCTGGTGACCAGATCAACACTGGAAAGAGTGGAGCAACTTTCAAAGGAATTAGAATATTAGGCTGCTTGCAAAATAATCTCAACAAATTAGAAAGCAGTATAAGATTTATCTGAAGGCCATAGAGTTTTCCTTGCAAGAATATTGGAGAAAGTTTGCACTTTACGGACCAATTAGTTAGTTATATTGTTAGAGTATGTGCTGTTTCAAGTAAACGATCCAACACGCCATTTCTAACTGTTGGTCATTATTAGCAAAGTATAAAAAGCAGGGAAAATTCCCTAAAACTCCGTACATGTTTTCATCATCTGTGTTCTCGTTTCATGCATAATTCAGACTGCTGTTAATTTTTAGCCTGTGTGAGATTATTGCAAGACAAATAGACCAGGGTTTATATTCTCTTGTTTGAGCTAAAAAGGCTATTTTAAATGAATTAGGATATAATAATTATTGCTTGCTTACAAGTTGCGGTAAAATTCGTTTTTTATTCCTTTATGTTCCCAGTGGAAAACAGGGCTTCAAGCTAGAGGCTTAGAGTTTCTGTAGCAGTGGTGTTTATTTTCACGGGATGGGGTTGCTAGCCTCATAACCAACCTTACCTCTTATTAGTCTTATTACTGGCTTAGCGAGGTAAAATAGTTCATCGGCCGAGGATCGAACGCCGGACAACCTGCATGGCTGACGGGCATTTTACGGCTGTGTCACCAACACTGGTAACATTCGTGCTCGCCCTAAAACAACCAAATACCCAATAGATATATATCTACAAGTAACTAAAAATACTCACTTCAGGATTTATGTGGGACAGTTTCTGTGTGAACTTACGAAGTTTGAATGCAGTGATACTAAACAAATATTGAATGCAAAAGCTTTCTTAATTTTATCAAAATTTAACCAATATTTTCCCACTATTCAAACACTACTTCACCATTTTAACCTTCGTTTAACCATTCTTCACCCATTTTTATCCAACCGGGCATACAACTCCTTGTATTTGTTGACATTTACTTCCTTTTGCAGTTAGCTAAATTAACGTCTGTTCAACACGTTAGGTTAATTTTTTGACTTATTGGACATAAAAATGAAGTTTGTGATTTCTAGTCTGAGATGATCTGTGAAGTTTTATTCCCCACGTATATTTTTTGTTTGTTTGCAGATACAAATTTGTACATTATTTGTATTTTTATTGGAAAGTTTGAATAAGAAAATATATTATCACTCACTGACAGTGTAAAACTGATAAATACACATAAACGCGTGACCATGGAAGTGGAAATTCTACCACCTGCTTGCTGTCCCTGTACTGATGGAGATGTCATGAATGGTTCACGTCCATATACTGATCAAACTGTCAATAATTTAATGGCTGAAGGAAATACGCTTTCATCTGGTATGCTGGAATTTTTTATTGATTCTTTCCAACAGAGTTGATTTATAATCTACGGCTAGTTCATTTATCATTTTAAAGTATATTATTTTTTGGATATCACTTACTGAATGCCAAACCTAAAAAAATATTCAAACTGATTTCTGTTTGAATGTTAATGGGTAGAAATTCATTCTCTTGAAAAGGAATCACAACGATGTTTCTAGCATTGATACTAAATATGATGCCCATATTTCCTCGGATGGCTTTATGTCAGCGGAATCTTACTGTATAGTAAAACTTGTTTGCTTTCTGTGAAAGTCACTGAATGTTTGGTATAATTAGCGTAAAGTGTCATTGTAGACTAATGGGAAGATACATAAGATTTTGTAGTTGAACATGGATTAGTTGCTCATATTTTGAGCATAAATATGATAAATGTCTTATCTGCTCAAATATTTATGTGCCCATTTTCTGTCTTATTTCTATCCTTTTTGAGAAAGTAGTGTTTGTGTTCGGCGCCATATATTTTTCTCACCACTTCACAAACTCACCCTTCAGTTGTCTAGAAAAACAGTTTTACCGACTGTTTTGAGCCTGCCAGATAATCAAAAAATTTAAGCACTTTCGGTAAATCTGTGGTGCACCCTTTTTATTTAAGAAAGTTCCTATTAAAAGAGATCAAGGGGAACTTGTAAGGGTTTTCTGATCTACTTCATCTGCATCAGAACCATGTCATTCAAATGTAACAACATAGTGTATCGAAGAGTTAATCGAAATTTAGTGGTTCTCACTTTTAGCCCTATCCTGACTGTTATGTTTATGTATACCTGAGAAAAGCAGTGTATCATGTGCACAGTAATAGGGTAGAAAATTCCGAAAGAGGAATGCTAATGATGAATTAACCATAATTCTAAACTTTCGTTACATCCTCTTGATATAGTAGTGAAGCGTATAACAGACTAAAATTCAGAAATAATTTAAGGTAATTAATCCAAAAATGAACTCGATTTCGTTGTATTTCTTTGGAGAAATGAATAAGAAGTAGTTAAAATCTAACGGTTGTCCATTTGTGCCCCATTATGGTTATTTTTAGTTGTTTTACAGTGATTTTAGGTTTGTTGTATTATCATATGATACAATTTAGTATCCCTTATTTTCCTATCTACTTTTTCGCTCATCTTATTTTAACTAGTTTGATTAGTCAAATTTCAGCTATCCTTACTTAAAATTGTATTTTGAAATTTGTACTTCTGGCAGATTCTCGATTCTATTTATTTCCCAATTCTGATTCGCAGCTGTCCCGTTTCTGTTTTATTTCTTTAAGCATAGATAAGATCACTCTTGTAATCCCGTATATATTGTCTATCAGAAGGACATAAATGTCCGCTTATCTTGAGGTCATTAATTAAAGTGAATGAACACATACATACATTCTTTATGGTTTAGCGCTGTTTCAGCTAAATAGCTGTTCTGAAATTATTTGGGTATATTTTCTCTTAGTTATGTAGCTACTTATATTAAGTAATTTACTTTGATTGTTATCTGGTTAAACGTGACTTAGAACTCAATGGAAAATAAATCTGCAATAAGTATTTCATCTATCTAAAGGAAAAAAGCACATAAAGTGAAAACTGGTTAGACCTCCAAAGCAAATTTCTAACTTGTTTTCATTTTATTTTGCCTAGAATGAAACTGAACTCATAGAAAACGAATTGAATCAAGTATATACCGCTAAAAACCCAGAGATTATTATTATTTTATCTATATGCCTTTTAAAAGACTAAGTAATGTGTTGGTGTCATTTAAATGATGAGTAACTATCCAAGAGAGACGTTTGATTGTTTAGATTATAAGATTTTATATGGATTTTGGTCATTTTCAACTCAGATTTCGTTGAGAATCGAAATCATTCGGAAAATCATTGAAAGTGGGGTTTACCATGTCAACGTGAATTGAATACTTGGGGATGGCTCTGTATCAAAAATTAATAAAGCCAGAATTCATGGGTCGCTGAATCTCAAGCCAATCGAATTAACAGTCAAATAGCTTGACCTCATAACCTCGAGGTCCAGGGTTCGATCGCTAGCGAAGTCATAAGTACTCTTGGCTAAAGAGTCCTAATATAGGACGAAACATTCATCCAGTGACTATCTAACCGATGTTAGCTCTTGGAAAAACCTACACTGAAGTTTAATTATTAGTTCAGATGTTAAATGCGCTGATTGATTCTTCCTAATGTACAGTTAATTTATTCTTTAAATTATTGTTATCTCTTCACTCACTACACATACTGACCCAGCCAATTATCGTCACAAAGTCCTGCACTAAAAAATAAATTTTCGTCTTGTAAAACAAAACATAATTTATAGTGTGATCGAAAAAATGCACCACTGAGGATTTTTCAAGACTTACCAGTTAATTATCATAAGAAGCGTTATAGTGCTGACAAATGCTTCAAAATATATCCGAATCATGAAACTCACAATGATGAGAGAAAATAAAGCTGCACATTTCCTTTCTAGGGGAAGCCATATATATACATGCATATGTGATCAGGTGCTACCAATTGTCGCAGACTAAAATTGACATCTCTTACATTGTTCTACAGCATATATTTTAAACATAAGTAATATCAGTAGTTTATTGCATTAAGGGCAAAAATTTAGTTTGTAGCTTACAAAAAAAGGCATGAAACAGCGAAATACCATTCTGTGTATCCTAAAACTTTAGTTTCACGTTCGAGCATAAGTGTTGTAGTCACACATCTCAGTGGTAACAAACACAGGATTGATATCACTAACTGTTACTAGAGGGAAAGGTTTTTCTAAAGGGATTTGCAAAGGTTTCATGTGTCATTTAAAGTGTGTCTCTTAAATAAACTGGGTGTGGTGAGAGCAGGCTGCTAGCCGATTGGTTGGCACTAATCTACGTTAAGGTCTAGGTCACTAATATGGGCCGTGAGAAGATATGAACAAGCCTGAGTCAACAACCAATCACAGCAAAGTTAACGTGGCAAAATATGATTCGCAGAGAGAACTCTATTTGTCAAGGAATCCCGAAACAACCAATCAGAAGCCTGCGTTTGTCTACCTAAACAACCAATCAGATGACTGCGCTTGTCTATAATAATGTAGTTGAAAGATGTATAAATACGTGTTGATTTTCATAATAAAACGATCTGTTGCCTGGCCCTTGTCTTCTGTTGTTACATTTGGTGTCGCTGCCTACCGACAAATGAAAAGCCTATACCCTGCAGTTTTTGATGGAGACATATGGATCTTCGGGCAGGACTTCAAGGCTTCTGCGCAGTTGAGTGGCGTTCAAGATCTGTCAGCGATGGAGCTGCTACTTGAGACGCTGCTGGGAGGTCGGGCGAAAGCAGCATATGAAGGTGTGGGCCGAAGTATGGACGAATGTTCGACAGGGTCAGGCAAACAGTTTCCAAAGTGGGAAGGACCATATATGGTCACTTCGAGATGGGGTTACGCAGACACAGTCGCAATGGCGAACAATGAGAGGCGCGTGAACGTCAGCGAGCTCCAGAAATGGATACAGCGAGACAAGCCAACGATGACGCCTGCACCAAGTAGATCAAGCCGACTTCAGTCGCACGTATTTGACGGGGGGACGAGTGTGGTGAGAGCAGGCTGCTAGCCGATTGGTTGGCACTAATCTACGTTAAGGTCTAGGTCACTAATATGGGCCGTGAGAAGATATGAACAAGCCTGAGTCAACAACCAATCACAGCAAAGTTAACGTGGCAAAATATGATTCGCAGAGAGAACTCTATTTGTCAAGGAATCCCGAAACAACCAATCAGAAGCCTGCGTTTGTCTACCTAAACAACCAATCAGATGACTGCGCTTGTCTATAATAATGTAGTTGAAAGATGTATAAATACGTGTTGATTTTCATAATAAAACGATCTGTTGCCTGGCCCTTGTCTTCTGTTGTTACATTTGGTGTCGCTGCCTACCGACAAATGAAAAGCCTATACCCTGCAGTTTTCGATGGAGACATATGGATCGTCGGGCAAGACTTCAAGGCTTCTGCGCAGTTGAGTGGCGTTCAAGATCTGTCAGCGATGGAGCTGCTACTTGAGACGCTGCTGGGAGGTCGGGCGAAAGCAGCATATGAAGGTGTGGGCCGAAGTATGGACGAATGTTCGACAGGGTCAGGCAAACAGTTTCCAAAGTGGGAAGGACCATATATGGTCACTTCGAGATGGGGTTACGCAGACACAGTCGCAATGGCGAACAATGAGAGGCGCGTGAACGTCAGCGAGCTCCAGAAATGGATACAGCGAGACAAGCCAACGATGACGCCTGCACCAAGTAGATCAAGCCGACTTCAGTCGCACGTATTTGACGGGGGGACGAGTGTGGTGAGAGCAGGCTGCTAGCCGATTGGTTGGCACTAATCTACGTTAAGGTCTAGGTCACTAATATGGGCCGTGAGAAGATATGAACAAGCCTGAGTCAACAACCAATCACAGCAAAGTTAACGTGGCAAAATATGATTCGCAGAGAGAACTCTATTTGTCAAGGAATCCCGAAACAACCAATCAGAAGCCTGCGTTTGTCTACCTAAACAACCAATCAGATGACTGCGCTTGTCTATAATAATGTAGTTGAAAGATGTATAAATACGTGTTGATTTTCATAATAAAACGATCTGTTGCCTGGCCCTTGTCTTCTGTTGTTACATGGGCTTTACAGATTTTTAGAGTTCGTTAAATAATTTATTCACCTATAAATTTTTAAACACCAAACAATGTCCACTCACAACTTTTTTCGATTTAGCCACAAGGCTAAATGATAGAACACTCCATTTCCTCCATTAAGTTTATTCAGAGTCAAGCATCAGAAAAACTGTGAGCTTAATTTCATACTTGTCGTCACTTATCAGTAAGACAGAGTGACAGTCTTAAAGAGAGCCAAATAATCCAGTCAGCCATTGTTTAATGACAGATTTTAACTCCACAGGAAGCATCTTTAACTGTTCACTCTCAGTTTTACTGAGTTTTATAGAGCAGATAAATTTTCAGACGACAAACATTTGCTAACAGGTAGTATTACTGTTTATGATGCTATAATCACTTATGAAACATGCATCCACGAATCAGTTTCCGGCTTTGATATATGAAAGACATTAATGACATTCCACTAGACGATACTAAGTAGTGATGCAGCATCCAAACAGCACATCAAGGTAGAAATTAACACAGAAAAGGATAAAGAAACTAAAATAAAACTTTTATGAGCTGCTTAAAATAAAAAGTGGTTTAAGGAGGAAATATATACGTGATCATGATTCAGATAAAAGTTGTGTAAATGCATCCGTATTAATGTAACTACTTTCAAGGCATAGAACCTACATTGTCCGATCATTGGTTCTGTTTATCTCGTAGATTCAAAATGCTCATGTTAACATTCACCTGAATATCCTGAACAGCACCATCAACAACAATAACTCCGATATAAAATGGCGTTTATTTGATACTTGAATTCCGGAGAAGTGAATAGACAGGGAGTTTTACTTGTCAAATGTTTCGTATTTGTCGATATTCATCAACAGTGTATATCTACAGCCTCGAAATGAAACTCGCGTTTCTTCGAAAATTTAAACGTGTATCACTTAATTGTTAAATTGACAACCACTAACCTGTTTAGACAATATGATTTTAGTAACTTGATAGATCGATTTTATTCTATAACTAGCCAGATTTGATTACGATGAGTCTCAAGATGTGCGATTTAGACTTCTAAATTTGTGTAATTATTGAATGTTTAGTTACAATTAAAACTATTTTTCAAATACAAACTTTTTTGCAAATATAATGTCTTAATTATGTTTGTGTGTTTGTTATATTCTCTTTCAGATGAACAAATAAACCAACAAACTGAAGGCGATAACAGTCCATCGAATGGTTCTTTTGTCGAGAGTAGTGATATTCTAACGGAAACTCTCAATAATCTTGAGAAATTAAATGAAGATTTGAAAAATTCGCCTACCAATCCATTTTCAGTTGACTTAACCAGTCTCCCATATCCACCTGGTTATTCTATAATAAAAAGGAACGGCTCACAGATAGATCACGCAAATCCGTATAAAGCATTAAAAGAAATCGAGGAAGAAAGTTCAAAAGAACCAAGGTATGACATATGATACATATACTATGCATGAAAATGAGTAGTCCCAGTCATCTTTAGTCAATTAGTGATTCTCGGTTATGTAAACCTCAGGTGATATTTTCTGTTGTTTAAAAAAGCATTCAGTTTAATTAGACACCAATATTTGTACACAGAACCTTACGAGTTTTTTCCTTACTGGTGAAACGAATTAGTGTTGGCAGACAGTCATAAGGTTTTATTTGGGTGGGACTGTGGAACTCACCTCCGTATTTGCTGTTATTTTAAAAAGTCATTGTACCTATATGATTGGGTGATGACTGTTCTCCAGTAAAAGGATTATGGTAAACGACAAAGCACTGAAACACAGCGAATGTGCGTCACTTGTACCAGAATACTATCTAATCAATGTTTAAAATGGTTTACTATTGAGATATTTAATAAGTGCATTAAATAGTTAATCGGTAAACTTCAGTTACCATCAGCAGTTCTCCAGACGCACAGAGATGATTTTCGAGTTAATGGTTTCAGTAGACAAAGAGCATTTTCCAAACAAAATATGGAGAAGATTATAATTTATTTGTTGTGTAACCGTGGTATTGGAACGGTCAGAAAATTGGTAAACCCTCATTTTATAGTAAAATAAAAATAGAGGAAAGTGAATAAAACGTGTCGGTAATATAGTTGCGATGTACTTGACTTATCAACATGATTCCACCGATGCCTAAGATGCATATCCATCCCACTGCTTAGATTTACCAGTAATATGCGCTCTTAACCTCATATGGAATGAAATCCAGTATCCATAAGTACTTGAGAAACTACTATACAGGCAACAGAACTAAAAGTGAGTGACTTTCACCACATATTTCTACTTCAATTTTGACAAAGTACTACTGTAATGTAACCGTATGATTTCTGATTTTTTCACAACTATGACATAACTGACTGCATAATTTAAGGGAGGATTATTTCAGAATCAGTCTTTGGGAAGGTGTAGATTTTCCTGTATTATCATGACTGCACTTTATTTTAAAATAACTAAAGATAGAAGTGGTGGAAAATGACATTTTAAATTAATTATTGACTACTGATGTACCCTCAGTGCAATACTAATATTACGGTTACATATATATATATATGCAAACACAATACCATAAAACAGACTAAATTGTAACAGCAGTGATCGTGCAACCTTCTACTTTATGCTACTCACATTCTTTAAGTAAAATTGACTTGTGAGCACACACACTACTTAATTTTGAGATAACATATTAAATATTAATGTTCCTCTTTCATAGGATGACAAAAAAGTTTTTGAAGCAACATTGTGCAAAGCATAAATTGTATCAAACACCACAACTGAATGATATCCTGTATCTTCATTATAATGGTGAGAGTTTTATTTGTTAATTTTTTAATATTTTTAACCGATGTTGAACACTGAATAATTTCAGATCAAGGTCAATCTCATCATTAGCTCACTAAAAACAAACCTTTAAAAAGTCAAAGTCAGCTTAACGAAATCACATTGGAATATTGATTAAATTTTACGGTGCAATTATCGTAGTGTTCTGGTTTTTAAAATATAACTTCGGTAAAAATTAGAGATGTTTGTCATGCAGGTTGTAATAGCTTTGTTACGCTTCAAACTTTGAATTTATCTGGCAAAGATTTTGACATCAGTCTAAACATTATTTTTAGTGTTACTTTACCAAGAAGTTTTATTACACATTCATAAACAAAACAGCAAACATTTAATATCATTTCAAATGAATGTTTGGCAGTGAGCCGAAATATACATTAGGTGGAAACTAAAATAAAAGCTTCAACAGTATTCCATGAACATTTTTATTCTAAAAATCAACCGTAGTATTGTTCACCTCAAGAGCTGTACAAATTCATCAGAAGTAATTGCATGGATTCTTGAACAAAATGTGATATTGTTATTGGGTGGATGCTGACTATGAGTTGGATCCGGGATGAGCCTTTCGTTCTATTTTGGAGTCGTAAGCTGGATGTACCTGCAATCACCATAGGGTGATGGTGGTCCCTATTGAGACTTGTATCTAGTATTCGTCGTTTCAAACTCCAAAGTTCAGTCTAGTCGCCCGCTTGGGCCATGACAGCCATATCTAGTGCAATGGTTATCAGTTATTCCTCACTTAATTTAATTTTGTACTTCCCGTTGACTGAATATATTGGAATGAAGTGTTCAATCTCTGTTAATATTTTGGCTCCTAATACGGACGCTTTAACGATGTCTAAAGCTTAAACTGATGTCATTTGTTGGATGGTGATAAGCAGTGGAATCCAGGATGCACATTTCCTCTTATTTATGACTTATCCACTGGATATGCCTGTAACCTCCTATAAATGTTGCTGTCTATAGTGATGATCATAGTCATATTGTCAAAGAACGAGTGCAAAAAACGAATAATTTCTGAGATGTTGTCAAGTAAAAAAGAATATTTATACTATGTGACACACCAAAAACAACAAGAATCCTGAATAACCGAAGAGAAAGGAAAATATAAAAATACCCCATTCAGTTGAGCATTTCAATTGGCAAATATCATAAATCAGTTTTCTACATCATTTATGTGGATAATGAACTGTTTAACAGCTAAGTCTATCTCAAACAATCTATTCTTCGTTATTATTATTATTATATTATTATATCCTTTAATTCCTAGAGGAACATAGGGCTTCAGCCGCGCGTCTCCATTGCATTCGGTCTCCTGCCAACTTTTTCAACCCGCTCCAAGGCTGCCCACATGCTTTCATCTCCTCTTCACGTTACCTCCTCCAAGTCACCCTTGGACGACCAACTCGCCACTTCCCTTTTGGGTTCCACTCGAGTAACGGCTTGTCTGGTGATGTCACTTGATGGTTTCCTCAGCGTATGGCCAATCCATCTCCATTTCTTCCTGCCTATTTGTTTCACAATCGGTTCCTATTTGGGTTGGTTCGCTCCCAGAGTTCTCTGTTGCTGATCTTTTCTGGCCAGCCATCTGATCTTGAGTATTGAGCGAAGGCAGCAGTTAATGAAGGTCTGAAGTTTGTTTGAGATGCTCTTTATGACGCGCCAAGTCTCTGATCCGTACAATAGCACTGACTTCACATTGGAATTGAAGATCCGGATCTGATTTTTGATTCTGAGTGCTGTTGACCTCCACACAGATTTAAGAGTAATGAAAGCTTGTCTTGCTTTTCCGGTTCTGGCTTTGATATCCTCGTCAGTAACACCGCCTGTAGTTGAAACGATGCTTCCCAGGTAGGTGAAGGAGGTTGTTTCTTTCAGGTTCCTCCCATTTATGCTGATTGTTGTTGCTGTTGCTGTTGGCCAGGAATCTTCATCACCTCTGTTTTATCTATGTTCACTTGAAGTCCTATCTTTGATGCTTCTTCTGCCAACTTGTTGCTTTTCACTTGCATATCTTCCAGTTTGTGGGAAATCAGACATATATCATCGGCGAAGTCCAGATCCTCCAAGTTTTTTGTGTGAGTTCATTTTATGCTTATTTCCTTATTGCCCGTTGTCTGTAGCATTATCCAATCTACTACAATCAGGAAGATCATTGGCGATAGTAGACAGCCTTACCTCACTCTCGTCCTCACTTCGAAGGCCTCCGTAAGTTTCCCGTTGTGGATTACTTGGCATGCAGCATTGTCTTACAACTGTTGGATGAGGTGTATAATTGTCGATGGGACCCCGTAGTAGCGAAGCAGTTGCCAAATGACCTCTCGATCGACGTTGTCGAAGGCCTTCTCAAAGTCGATGAAGTTGAGATAGAGAGGTGACTGCCATTCCAAGCTTTGTTCAATGACGATCCGTAGTGTGGCGATTTGATCAATACATCACTTGTTTCTCCTGATACCAGCTTGTTTCGGTTGAATTTTTTCATCCAGTGCTTGTTTGATTCTCTCGACGATGATGCGGCTTAGTATTTTGCTTGGGATGGTCAGGGGCATAATTCCGCGCCAGTTCTTGCATTGATTTAAGTCTCCTTTCTTTGGTAGTTTGAATAAGTATCCTTTCTTCCAATCCTCGGGTACTTTGCCCTCTTTCCACACCTTCTCCAGCAGTGGTGTCGTCAAGTCCGCTGTTGTCTCTGGGTCTATTTTCAAAGCTTCTGCTGAGATTCCACCTGGTCCTGCTGCTTTCCCAGCCTTAAGCATCTTGATTGCATTCAGGATTTCTGATTTCGTCGGGGGGGGGCGGTCGATGTTCACTGGTAGATCTGTTTCCGTTGTTGGTATTGTTGGGTGCGTTGTAGGTGGTGGTCGATGTAGAAGTCTTTCGAAGTGCTCAGCCCAGTGTTTTCTTTTCTCCACTTCTTTGGTGATTGACTTTCCATTGTCATCCTTTACTGGCTTAATCTGTGTCGAACTTTTGCCCGATAGGTACCTAGTTGTTTGGTAGAGTGTGGCGAGGTCTCCTTTGCCTGCAGCTTGTTCTGCTTTGCTTGTCATGGTTTCATAATATAGTCTTTTGTCTTCCCTGGCACTCTTCTTTAGTCTTTTGTTCAGTGTATAGTAGCTTGCATTCAAATACTGTTTTTGTTGCTCGTCAGTGCACTGGATAATCTTTAGTTTCACTGTCCTTCTCTGTTCTTTTAGTTTCCAAGTGTCCGTAGTGAGCCACTGTTTGTCCTGTCTCTTCTTTCTGCCTAGAACTTCCATGCAGGTTTGACTCCACGCCGTTTTCAAGTTGTCCCAGTGCTTTTCGGCGCTGACCTTTTCGCTGGTGTTGATTTGTGTCTCGGCTTTGTCCTTTATGCTTGCAATGAAGATGTCCTTTGTAGCCTGGTCCTTCAGCTTTTGAGTGTTGAACTTGGCTTATGGTCTATCTGCAGCTCCTGTTTCCTTGAAAGCTTTTAATTTGACTTGGATTGTCCCTTGTACGAGATGGTGAGTCTGAGCCAACGTCTGCTCCTCTTCTTACTTTTGTGTCCAGTAGGCTGCGCCTCCACTTCCTTGAGATTGAGATAAAGTCAATTTGGTTTTTGGTTTGCCCGTCTGGTGACACCCATGTAGCCTTGTAGATATCTTTGTGTTTGTATACGCTGCCAACAATCACTAGTTTGTTGAAGGCGCAGAAGTCGGCGAAGAGTTCTCCATTTTCATTCATTTCTCATAGAGAGCTTCTCTACCCATGATTAGTTCCCTTCCTGTGTTGTCTGATCCCAGTTTGGCGTTCACGTCTCCCATTAGTATTTTAATGTCACCAGCTGGCGTATTGTCCATTGTTGCCTGTAGTTGTCTGTAGAATTCTTCTTTCTTTTTGAGGTCCTCGTTGTTTTTGGGTGCATAGCATTGTATAATTGACACTTTCCTTCCTTTGGAGTTGAATCTGGCGGTGATTATCCTGGGCGAGATTGTTTCCAACTGTATCAGGGCATTTGTTACCGTTGGTGAAATCATGATAGCCACGCCCTCGGTGTGCGTGTGGTTATCTTCTGGGTGACCGGAGTAGATCACTGACTCACCCGTTGACAATTTGGTGAGTCCATTTCCGTTCCATCTACTTTCACATATTCCCAGTACTTGGATTCCGTATCTTTTAATTTCGTTTGCGATCTGGGTAGCTTTGCCAATCTCGTACGTAGTGCCAACGTTCCATGTCTCCACACAGACGTTTTCTTTTGGTGCAAAGAGATTCATCGTGCTGAAGTTTCTGTAGCAACTTTGTTTACAGGGTGGGGTTGCTAGCCTCACGCCTGAGAAAGGGATTGTTACATTAAGATATAGTTTAGAGAGAAGAGACCTTGTGGGTTGCTCCCCTTAAAACCGGAAAACAAGGAATAAAACAATCAGAACAACACCAGCAAAAAGAAAATAGTTCACAGCAAAAAGGACAACAGGCGACAAGAATAATAAAAATGTCCGGTTAAGCACAGTTAACTAAAATGATACAAAAATCATAGACTCACTGACTTGAGCCAACTTGAACATGTAAATCGAACAATATATACAATTATAGATATGTGTTAGTGTTAAAAAGTCACAAAATACCAAACAGTTAGTTATAGGTATTAGTAGTCAACAAGATTATATCCACAGGTTTAGAGTTCGAAAGTAAACGAATTGCAATAATTTCCAAAACTTCGTGGTCAGAAACACCAAAGAAATGAGAGTTTTATGTAACTAAACAATTGTAGCGCACTGATCGAAAAGCGCGCTCCAAGCCTAATTATATCACAACTGTATTAAGTGTATTCGGCAACCACAACTCTAGCAAATATTTAATGTAATCCTCAAAAACCTAAGGCGCAAACAGTGGATTTCGCATTAACTGCTGTCGCCAATCCTAGGTGAACCGAAGTGAATTTCTTCAAGCAACAATATCAGCTAGAGTAATCACTGCGAAACCATGAGCAACTGATTCATCCTTATTTAATAGTCTTTAACACTGGATTTCAACGAATAACCTCACATTGAACTCATCACTATTAGGTTACAAGGCAAACGTTTTGGTATTCAGTCATTAACCTGGAGTCTAGGGATATTTAAAATCTGGCTTCTGTCTGTTTGCTGAGCATTATCAAAGTCTGAATAAAAACGTCTAACGTTTTGATAACTTTTATTTGATTTTTGAAATGACCACCTCATTCACCACTGTCTGGCAAACACAGGATATGTTTTACTTCTAGTTTTGATTGGACACTAGCTAGTGTTGTGCGTCCAGTCCTTTGTTTCCTGCAGACTGAATTCTGTCAGTGAATTTTGCAATTTAGCCACCATGCTATGTGACTCTTTGTCCCAGTAGATTCAGAACTGTTATTGTTAGATGGTTGTAGGCGATTGGCGGGACGCCTTTGGTGTAGGTTTCGTGCTTGTTGGCACTCATCATCAAGGTGTATCTGCAATCTTGAAGGAACTCATGTCCCACTTGTTCAGTAATGAAACTAAGACAAGAATTTAGGTGAAGGGAATTCCTAAGTGCAGTTGGCAGTATTGGTAAACGCTGATGAATCACTTTCTGAACTATCTGAAAATCACCACAATGTCTAAATTAGTCATTATCTTACTGATATGTAGTGATTTATTTAATTATCTTAGTAGCCAGTAAATTTGTGATTTCTGATCTTCCTTTTCATAATATCAGTCCTAGTTATCTGAGACAGCAGATTTTTAATAAAATGAATATATCCCACAGCATAACATCGCTTTGTATTTTATATAATCTCGATCGCTTTATGGCTTATTGGCTTTTTTAGGTATCTGAAGTTATTACTGCATATACAAACTTCTACTGGGTTCTAAAGCTAGGTGGAAACACATAGTGTGTATTCTTTCCTTTCGGATGTCTTTCTAGCTGATGTCTCTTCGTAATGCAGTAGTGTTTTAAAATTAGGATTAATTACAATAACTTTAGGTTTTATCAAAAGCGAACAGAAATGTCGGTGGGAAATCTATTATTTCATTCAACGTGGAGACTGACGCAAGTGTAGATCTATTTAGGTTATGTGTATGAGGTTTACGCAGTGCCAATTAATATTACTGTCACGTTTCTGGTGGTTTCAGTTTGAGATGAACTAATATTTTACAATAAACACTTTCAATTCAATAGCAATATTATTTATTAACCGTTGATTTATTTATTTAAGCAAAAATCATTGCACTGAATAAATTTCATCTCATTTCTTGTAATTATCTTTATAGGTTTTTCAAAAATTGAAAATCTTGAAGAATACACCGGTTTAAGATGTTTATTCTTAGAAGTTAATGGGATATTAAAAATTGATGGTTTACAAAATCAAACTGAACTACGTTCATTGTATTTATCCAAAAATTTAATACGTCAGATTGAAAATTTAGATCACATGCGATTTTTGGATACATTAGATGTAAGCCATAATATGATAAGTAAAATTGAAAATCTTGGTAAGTTTTTGACTTGATAAGTAGATTGAAGTACTTACTAATGTATCTCTTCGCTTATAGGAGTAATTTTTTGAGACGGTACAGCGATTAAAAAAATACTAAAATGGTAGACTGGTGGATACCACAGTGCATAAAATTTTCACAAACGTAAATCATTTTTAAGATTGATCTTGAACCGAATTCATTTAGGAAATTATTGAAAACCATGGAGTACTGGACAGTTGTTTCGTCCTCACATGGGACTCTTCGTTAGTACGCACCCACGAGGCCATCAAGGGTCGAACCCAGGACCGTCAGGGTACATAGCAGGCCGGTGTGACATTGAGCAACTGGGATGGAATCCAATGGCCCATCATTTCTAACTTCTGTCAATTCGAGAAATATAGCGTGGCTACCGGCCGATGTCATAAGCAGGTATTAGTCCTCATATCCAAACTTGTGGACCCCGCTGACCCAAAGTTCCCACTAGGAATTCAGGCAAATCCATCCTGTAGTCGGTCACTGGTGAGCACTAGTATAGATTCCAATGGAGGCAATTGATTAATTTCAAAACCACTCATGAATTAGCTTCGTTTAGAAAATCTCTGAAGATCACAGAGTACTGGACAACTGTCATTTCTATTTCAGTAATTCATATATGTGAAATTACAATTTATACAGTAAACTTTCCTGAGATTCCAATTCACAGTGTCTAACTGTCTTACAAAAAAAGAATCGTATTCTAAATGTTGACTAATTTGTGAAGTAGTTCTTCTTCATTCTCGAGCAGTTAGCTGACAAACTTTGCCTAATAATCGAATCTAAAGTATCTTTTAGGAAATTTAAATGTTTTTAGCAAGCAATCACTAAGTGTACTTCGAAACTTGAAACGGTCTTGTGCCAACAGATTTCTTAATTAACTGTTTTGCTGGCGTAGTTAGTAAATTCTTAAGAAAGTTCCTATTACTATCGTACTTCAGCTTCTACCTAATTAGGTAGAGAAATACCGTGAAAATTTAATACATACGATGTGTTGGTAAGATTGGCAGCAAAATTTGAATGTGAATTTGAATTACAGTGTGTATGCACCCATGAACTAGTAACATTTGAGAATTGTTGCAAAAATTCTCCAACATTTAAAAATCATTGCTTTATTATTCGAATTTCTGCTAGAGTTGTTCACGCCTAGACAATTACAAGTTTTAAATTTTAAAATGTTATCAGGACAACTATCAATCACTAGTTCACGCATTCATCTTTTTTCTGAAACAGATATGCTTCCAAATTTCACAAAGTTGATAATTTCACATAATAAATTATCTGAGATAGAAGATTTGGTACACTTGACTAAGTGTGAACATCTCTCTGTTTTGGACATACAACAGAATTATATTAAGAATCCAAATGTTGTTGAAGAAGTATTTGCTAAAATGCCAAGTCTAGTAAGTTGATGAACATTTTTCAAGCATTTGTTTTATAATCTTGATTTACAGGGATTTTACTGAATTCAAGTTAGATCATGAATTGACTTCAGTTAAATAAACACTGAAGACCAGGGAGCAATAGAGAGCTGTTTTGTCCTTAGCATCATGCACCCATTAGCCCACCAAGGATAGCACGCAGGACCTTAAGGCTATAAGGCCGGCCCTTTGAGAATTCAACCAGTGAGACGAAATCCAAAAGCTTAAGAATTGTAACTTCTGTCATCTAGCAGTGGGTAGTTTATTAACCTGATTGGAGAGTATTTCTTCTCTTACTTAAATCAGTGAAGCCAACTGTACACGACGATTCAACTTGATTTCATGTGACTCTCCTTTTTTCTCTTTTAGTTAAACATTATAAAGTAGATATCAAGGAATATGATTTTTCATTTCTATAAAAAATAGAACTTGAAAATAGCTTTTCCAATACATGTGTAAAGACTGAGCACTGTTATAATTCTGTATCAGTTTGTTAGTTAAATATGTCACAGATAAGAACGGTATTACCGAACAGTATTACTCACCGGATGATGCATCAAATATAACGTTTTATTCATAAGCATATCAGATGTATATATATATATATATATATATATATATATATATTTCAACGAGTTTCGTGCTGAAAACACTTCCCAAACTGAAAGTGTAAACAGTTTTGTGACAGTCAACAAACAGGAATGTTAGCGAATGTATGCAAGCATTGTTTGTCATTCAGAGTTCTTAATAATACCAACCAAGTGGACAGAAATAGGCGTAATGTAATGAATATCAGGAAATAATTCGTATGACATGTGTCATAAGGGACGAACTTGTGCATTTGCTTTGCACTTACTAGTGGTATTTAACAGTACACATCGTATTTTCTGCGTCGGTGGCACAGTGGTTAGGACTCTCGCCGACCATGCACATGGTCCGAGGTTCGATCCCCTGCCGACGCACACCTGATATCTATGGTCAGCCTTCAAAATTTGGGCTACCGATATCCATGCTGAAAATTCCATACTTGTGTGGAATCAAGCTGTAATCAAAAATAAAAGAAATAAAAATAAAAAATTCCTTAAAGTTCATCCATTGATGCTGAAATGGCCAAAGTTCATATTTACAAAAGCACATAAGTTTTTTTTGAGCCTGCATGTGAGTGTTCTGCAGAAAAAAAAGTGGAGTTCACCCTATCCTACTGTTTCCCACCAAATTGGTTAAACAGAAGTAACTGTTTGAAGGTTGCCCAATGATAAAGGAAGTGAGCAATTTTACTCAGCTTCAGTCCGTACTATAATCGGAAACGATGTCATCATGTGTATAAGTGAAGACAACAATTCAAATTGGTAACAGAATAACTTCTGAAATTCTGTAGATTTCAGTCTTCCGACATAAGACTAAAACTTATGCACTGTGGTGGAGTATAACTCCATTATGGGTAAAATTTGTTTTGATGAAGTCTGACAGTGTTACGCAGTAATATTTACTGATGACGTTTCAAGCACAATTTATTCCCGATAATCATATCAAGGCAATCATACAACTTTCTAACTTCGTTTATAAAATTCCATTATTTTCCATCGCTTGACTTGATTGGTAATAGTAGCTAGGGTAAGAATGGTTGACCCCGAGAACAGTAATTTAGAAAAAAGCACAGCGATTGTACTGCATACATTAACACGCAACCACAAAATAGGTTGGGAGAGGGTTAAAATTCTAAGAAGTAATATAGGTAGGTGCAAATAGATGTTGATTACTGAACCCTTGTTGATCGAGTCTACACCCAACACGTGCAATAAGAATGACTCATCATTCATACAGGAAATATGGAAAATACTGCTAACGATCAAGTCAAGCAATCAAAAATAATGGAATTATATAAACGAAGTTAAAAATTTGTGTGATTACCTTGATATAAAGTATAATTATATTTCAATAGTTTACACACAATGATAAGTTTTGTTATTGCTATATCTATCTCAACTTCATCGACTTTGAGAAGGCCTTCGACAACGTCGATCGAGAGGTCATTTGGCAACTGCTTCGCTACTACGGGGTCCCATCGACAATTATACACCTCATCCAACAGTTGTAAGACAATGCTGCATGCCAAGTAATCCACAACGGGAAACTTACGGAGGCCTTCGAAGTGAGGACGAGAGTGAGGTAAGGCTGTCTACTATCGCCAATGATCTTCCTGATTGTAGTAGATTGGATAATGCTACAGACAACGGGCAATAAGGAAATAAGCATAAAATGAACTCACACAAAAAACTTGGAGGATCTGGACTTCGCCGATGATATATGTCTGATTTCCCACAAACTGGAAGATATGCAAGTGAAAAGCAACAAGTTGGCAGAAGAAGCATCAAAGATAGGACTTCAAGTGAACATAGATAAAACAGAGGTGATGAAGATTCCTGGCCAACAGCAACAGCAACAACAATCAGCATAAATGGGAGGAACCTGAAAGAAACAACCTCCTTCACCTACCTGGGAAGCATCGTTTCAACTACAGGCGGTGTTACTGACGAGGATATCAAAGCCAGAACCGGAAAAGCAAGACAAGCTTTCATTACTCTTAAATCTGTGTGGAGGTCAACAGCACTCAGAATCAAAAATCAGATCCGGATCTTCAATTCCAATGTGAAGTCAGTGCTATTGTACGGATCAGAGACTTGGCGAGTCATAAAGAGCATCTCAAACAAACTTCAGACCTTCATTAACAGCTGCCTTCGCTCAATACTCAAGATCAGATGGCTGGCCAGAAAAGATCAGCAACAGAGAACTCTGGGAGCGAACCAACCCAAATAGGAACCGATTGTGAAACAAATAGGCAGGAAGAAATGGAGATGGATTGGCCATACGCTGAGGAAACCATCAAGTGACATCACCAGACAAGCCGTTACTCGAGTGGAACCCAAAAGGGAAGTGGCGAGTTGGTCGTCCAAGGGTGACTTGGAGGAGGTAACGTGAAGAGGAGATGAAAGCATGTGGGCAGCCTTGGAGCGGGTTGAAAAAGTTGGCAGGAGACCGAATGCAATGGAGACGCGCGGCTGAAGCCCTATGTTCCTCTAGGAATTAAAGGATATAATAATAATAATAACTGGTAATATTTTGAGCAAAATTACCAATAACAAAACCTATCATTTTGTGTAAACTATTGAAATATAATTATACTTTATTTAATCTAATCCACAATGCTCAAACGTTTTACTTATATTAATACCTTGATATAATTATCGGGAAGAAATTGTGCTTGAAACGTCATCGGTAAACATTACTGCATAACGCTGTGAGACTTTATGAAAATAAATATTACCCATAATGGATTTTCCATTTCGTCAGTTGGTTTCTTTTAGAAGGTTGTACAATAAAAACGTTATATCTTTTCTAATATAGCACTTCACCTTCTGTCGAAACTAATACTTTTACAGTCGCATTCTTTCTTTAGAGAGCATAAATGAATTAATAAAAATGTGCTGAATGATACCAACCACTCTGTAATACACATATATGTATATATATGTATATCTTCCTTCTGATTACATGTTTTTTATGCGGTAACACTGAGCGATATACATATTCACTTTTACTATTTTTATATGATAGTTTTATAGCGAACTAAGTTTTTTTTACTTTCATGGGCTGATTTGCTCGGATGGCTTCATGACTCACCTCGCCTTTTTACTTGGTTTGCCTCCGGCTAAGAGAGATTTGGGAGTACGTCCTCTGGGAATCGAACCCAAACCACGTGTGCATTCTATCACTGAACTACTGACGCGGTCAGCACTTTCATACATTTATTCCCCTTAATGAATTTGAACAAAGCGAGAACAACAGTTTTTGAAACATAAAATGGTACCATCATTTATTTCGTCGCCTTCTCATCAGCTGCTTTCAGACCAGCCATTATTAAATATATCCACAGAAACAATTTTAACATACTTGCACAGAAGTCATTTTAAACAAAAATCAATCCATCAGTATATGCATACAGTAATTATATATATATATATATATATATATATATATATATATATATATATATATGTAATATTAAACACCATTCTGAACAATAATAATCATACACAATGGAAACTTTTCAGCACTACGTACTCAGATGAGAGAGAGAGATGGAAATATCCAGTTGCCAGGACATAGAAAGACTAATAACCGCTTCTTTCTGAACGCACAAATCAGGTTTCAGGCGTTTGATGGATATGGCTTTAGCAAACTTGAGGAGAGTTGAGCTCCTTTGCCTATTGATGATTTTGAACGATTTCCACCTCATGACCCGTGTCAAGGAAATACTACTACTACTACTACTACTATTAGTAGTAGTAGTAGTAACAGTCAAACTGTTCTTATTATGCATTTCAATTTACATTTCTGCTGTTTCTACTGTCTGCTAAATAGAGACCACAAGTCTAACTAATTGTAATAGTATCATTCATACTATTGGTGCTGCCGGGTTCGAATGGAGCTGATCTTCATTGGTAGTATATTTATTGTGTTATGCAGTCAAAAATTCATAGCTTGTTGTTTTCTATACGTAATAAATTCCCGTGTTTATTTTAATTCCAGAAAGTTTTATACAATCAAGGAAATGCATTTATTCGAGAAGTTAAAAATTATAGAAAAAATATCATTAATCAGTGTGTAAGTCACTGTTTTATTTGTCTAACAGTAAAATAATAATGGTAAACAGACAGAGTTTATCAACTAAGCGCAAATCCCAAGGGATGAGTATTTATGCGCTGAAGGTAATCACTTTCCCTGCTATAAACGTTTAAGACAGATGCCTTTTTAAAAATTCCCATTCCATCTTTTTAGGGAGCTAAGCAAAATAGAGAAGTTATATCTAATTATGAGAAGGATATTTGTGCAAATTGCTTTCATCTAAAATAAAAATTTCTAGTGTTTCATTTTGAGAATTGTGAAATATTACGGATAATTAGCCGAGAAAAATTTATTTAATTGGAATGTGTCTAAGTAAATAGGTCCCGAATTACTGTTAGTGCAACTTATAGTGGGATGGTTCTGAGCCATTTTCTGATTAATGTATAAGATTTGAGGACGTTGGGTATATCTTCATCTCGTTCTTAATCCAAACACTTTTAAACAGCATTTAAAGTAGAAAACATGAAAGGAATGATATTGAAATGAGAAAAAAACACCATTAGAGGTAAATGGAAGAGTAAACCGATTTAGAATCCGGGAACTGTTAAAAAGCAAGGCATTTTTCTCCGCTACAGATAATTCTGAGGAATGCGGTTGGGCAACGAATAATTTCTATTTGATAGACGTGGAAAAGATTGCAGTATATCGAGTCTAATTCACAGAATAAAGTGTCTATGACTTGTTAACTGATCGTATCTTAAACCTCAATCTTATTTTAAGTGATGCTGCTTAATTTTTTATAATGTGTATATGAGGTGGTCAGACTGAGTGAATAGGAGCTTTATAGGAATCTGAAGCAAATATATCAGCTGTTGCAAATGGTATTAGTTTACAGACTTAGTTATTTGATTTTCGTATTGGAATAACCTCATATACCCAGTAGTTGAGAGGTATATGAGAATAATGTTCACATTCTGTTCATTTTTACTGATCACCTTCTGGCTGTAAATTAAAATACTGCGAATTATTTTTCAGCATGCTCATCGTGTAATAAAAATCATTAGTGGTATGAAAAGGAAGCTGACAAATTATCCTTTCAACAAACAGATACATTTGTTCTGTTACATAACCCTCCCATAGCCAGTTATCTTCAGTTTGAAAAATCGTAATTTTACGTGAAATTATACATTTCCACTAGTTTTCTTGATTTGTATTTGTGGTACGTGTTGTAATTCGAATAATTTTGGTTTCGAAGAGACGCTTAGCTGAAATTTCACCTTGAACTGTGTGAATGGCAGATTGCAAATTAATTTGCAAACTGATTATTCCATCCAACATATTACCGGCTCGCTAAAGTGGTAAGCCTAAATTCGGGTGCTGTGAACTGGCTCGACTCTCTGAGCTGATAAGTTCATCCCAAAAGGAATGAAACGGCAATCCAGTGTTAAGATCACTTCCCTCTGCTTAAAAAGCACTACCGGTTAATATGAGTGGTATCCGGTTGCTCATATCAGTCAACCAGTGGTATACAGCAATCACAATAAAAAACAATATGCAGTTTTCATTATTATTTATTGAAAATTTGGTTGCAGACTGTAAGGTGGGGGAATTGTTTAAAATGCGATCAACCATTATATGAACTGTAATATCACATTTGTTTTCTATTTGCTTAGCCTTTTTGCTTCTCTCCCAAACCATCCTACAATGCTGAGTTTGACAATTTTCATTTATTCGACATTCATTTTGTTGCTTCATATTTAATGTACAATTATGATTAGTAGTAACCTGAAAAACCAAGCTCTAATACTGTCTTCAGTCTTGATAACGTCTGCTATTCTGTCTAGTGTTCAACTTGCTTTGAAGTGATAAATGCATACCGAATTGTGCACATTTTACTTATATTTTAGAAAACCTATTTTTTCAGGGTTATTTTAGCAGCTGTATGAGTGAGATACTATATTTTGACGGATATTACGTTTAAGAAAATTAGAATTATGAAAGGTTATTGTAGTTAAAAGGAGATACTTTATTGTGTGACCATATTCAGAACAGACCTTCGTATAAGTAAGTACATGTTATTTTGGATTACAATATCGACGATGGAAATTAACTTTGTACAAATGCCTGCAAAATTTCAAGATAATTTATTGTGCAGATTACAGACTTACATTTGACCCTGTACCTGTGTCAGAGAGGACAAATGACAAGAAGGGAATCTTAAAAGCGGTGACTTCTTATAGTTAAATAGTATGAGATATAAAAATAATAATTAAACTGGAGCACACTTCATTCCCGAATATACGAGTGTTCGATGTTATCTAAATTATTTAAAATAGATCGTTGTACGATGTGAATTAAAATAAATCATGCACCTTAGAACATTTATGTATCATTGAGATATTTTGCGTAGTTGTTGATATTTCAGGGGTTATTTTTAAGCTTTTTGCATGCGTGAGCATCACTTAGCACTCAGTTTTTTAACAAGGCTGTCAACAATCGGCTGTTGATGGATATAAATAGATCAGATTTAAAACGTGGTCGTTCAACTAATTGAAACGATACTTTAGGACATTTTGTTAAACTTTTTGAGCTAATTGTTATACTTTCCAACGTTTACCAAAAATGTGTTTCTGAGGGCGATAATTGTATAATGTTATTCAAGAGATTTTAACCAACACGAACTCATTTTGAATTAATGGGCTCTGAATATAGTTTGCACAGTTGAATATAGGTGAATAATAACATCTGTAATATGCTCTTAGTTTTTATATTCAATTCAGCTTTTCAGTAGAAGAATGTTGGGGAGAAAAGATTAGTAGTCCTGTATTCAAATTTAAAATTGTTGAAAACAGAATAAAAATTGAAAAAAACATTTGTTTCGTAAATATCGCATGCAATGTTAGCCAGTGAGTTGCAGCGATAACGAAACTTTGGTGATGTAGTACATCCCACTAGTTAGCCATGAATGTCTTATGCTGGATTCTCAGTTCTCATTTTATTAGTCTGGATTACAGGAGCTTAAAAATTAAGACACAGTCTTGTAAAACTTCACATTTAAGCGGTGACGATAATTTGGAAATGGTTAATACAAAGCAAATGGAGTCTACAGTAAATTTGTACTAAAACTTATTGGTGTGGCAGACAATTAATAATTCCTTTGCATTTTTTTCAGACAACATTGTGTTTAACCAACGATATTGACAAGTCAGCTAGAATATTTTTGGGTGAAATGATTAGTTCATTAAACTTTGTCATAACACACTACTAAATTTCGCTTAAATATAATTCTTAACAAACGTTTTTTAAAAACTTTAATGTTTTAGAAAAATCTCACATATTTAGACGATCGTCCTGTATTTCCAAAGGATAGGGCATGCGCAGAAGCCTTGTAAGTTAATAGTGTGCAGACTTTATTATTTGAAAAAATATTTAAATTATAGCTATGCAGAAGGAATTGAAAAAGAACGCGAAGTTCGACAACAGTGGATTGAAGCTGAGCAAAGAAAGATTTTGGAAAGTGTTAAATGTGAGTGGATTTCAGTTTTATTCTACTTTGATTAAATTTCGTCAATGAAATATCATTTAAAAATAAAATATTTTAAATTCGTGGTCTCCCGACTATGATTAACTCATATCATCTTTTCCTGGAATAGTTTTCGGATTTGAACTATGTAGGCAAGCATCGGATGAACGAATAAGACGCTTAGTATTTCCAAATTATATGGTTGAGCAATCTTCACGAATGTTTTGAAGCCAATTTACAATGCAAAGTTGGATTTGCCTACTGGTTTTTAAATTTGGATATTCTCACTAATCTAAGTTGGATTATCCTTACTCTTTCCATACTTACTACTGCCTATCGCAATAAAATTCAAAGTCTCTGCTATTTTCATTTGTGGCAATCTTTTCACTCAGTCAGAACGACATTGCAATGAAGAAAATCAACTGTATTTGTTGATGGCTATTATGTTGCAATTTATTCTACAATTTATGAGGTTTATGTTACACTGCAGGCCATTATTCTATCTGTCATGATGCACTGAGGTATCGAAAGTAGGTAATCAAAGATGCATTGAATAAATGTCAAGTGTTCAACATAGGAAAATAAAGTTAAGATTCATGGACGCAATATTTTAACCTTGTACACATTTCAGTATTCCATTGAAATTTGGTCCTATTTTTGGCATCATTATTAATATCATCTTAGTCTATATTCTGACAGCTATAAAGCAGATTTTTTTAGAAATCATTTATTTATTTGTTTTAAGGGTTATCTGAAACACGTAAACGCATTGAAGCAAGACGTCGGGAAGCTGAATTGCGCAGACAAGCTGAAGAAGCTGGATTACCAAGTGATAATATACACGTTTCACCAGGAGATATTGACTGGCTATACGGAGATGTCACTAATATACCAGATGAAGATAATAATTCAGACAATAATATTTCAAACGATGGGATTTTTGACAATTCTGCACCACCTCCATCTTGTGCAGGTGATGGAGAAGCATGTCCTAGATTACGTCCAAGAAACGGTCCTATGATGGCAGCACAGGTTTATGAAGAAATTTGTACGGAAATGGAAAACATGACAGCAGAGATGGAGATGAAACTACCTAGTTGCACTCAGTCTGATAATCAGAGAGTTGTGGATAATGAAGGAGCTGACACTCACGTTAAAAATATTAATGATCAAACTGGAAGCCATTCAATGAGCAATGAAGCTATAAGTAAATCATTTTCTGACAAACAAGAGGTAATAAAACTATTTTGTTGTAAAGCAATTTATTGGCATTTAAGACTATTTTTTTTCAAAACTAACCATTGTCCACCGTTTGATGTTAAATTTCATTAATTTCAGAGAGTGGTTTAAAAGCTTCTTAACATTGAAAATATTTTATTTTATGCAGAAGAGTATACTCACATTCCTGTTGTTTACCTCTGTTCAGATTGAGCATAAAAATAGTGAAGAAATTACACAGTCAGTAGGCACTGCAGACTTTATTTACCACAATAGTCGATCAAGGATGGTCTCATCTCCGTTTCTTTTCGTTATCGGAAAATACACATATATTCGTATTGTTTTGATGAATTTCGAGGTTTAAAGTTTGTTGATGGAACTTCTGATTTCAGCCTAGGCATAAATCATTTCTAATTTGCTAAGAACTCCTGGATTTTCATAACCTGAGGCATAAATTTTCATTCCCTTGCAAATATTTATGCATTTAATCACTTTGCAGTAAGAAATACTGTTGAACTCTATGACAATAGGAGTATAGCTTTTTTGAAATCACTGGGAATAAGAATATTTTGTAGAAGTGTCAAACAGCCTATATAATTGTTTTCATTTAACAAACATAGAGAATGGACTTGTAGACCGATGTGTTAACGGTCTCATACACAATCATAAAAGCATACAATTACGTTCTACTTTTTTGATAGCCTTTTTAAGTAACTGAATGTGTTGACGGAGGCTGCTTCGGACAGTATAACACAGCACTATTTTAGCAATAAAGAAATTGGTTTGAAACCATAAAATGCCACTGCAAGTTCATTTGATTTTTTCATTAAAGAAGTGTTTAAGCTTCTAACTCATTAAATAAAAACGAGGAGTACCAGAGTGTGAAATTATTTAGTGTTCAGTATTAGAAAATGGATATATTTCTACTGGCAAATAAAGTATCACTTGTCTCAATACTTTCAGTGTTCGAAACGTCCCAAGTCAACATTTGTTTTCCTGTGCTATGAATTTATTAGAATCGATTTACTATATACGGCTACCAGCTATTATCATATACTCACTTGACACTGAGCAGACATGCTTAGATGAATTAAGAAGGTCAGCCAGCTACTTACCTTATCAGCAATTATATGCAGTAATAGTTAGCCTGGATATGAAGATATATGTGTATGCGAGCCAACCAAAGTTCAGTGGTCAAACTGTTATTTTGAATCCCTATTTCAAGCCTTAACTGTGGAAAAGCTTTTTCGGCAAATGAAATGCCTTTGAAGAGTAATAAAGTATTTAATATTCTAAAATAATTAACATATTTAAAGTTCATAAGTGCTTCTAAAGTGAGTCTAACATTTCATCTAGTGAAAAAAAATTATATCTTCATGCAGTTGTTCCCATTAATAATCTTAAAATAAATGTATTTAGATATACACTGAAATCAGCTATTAATGTAAAATCATATTGGAAATAATTAATTGTGATACTAACCTGGATTATGTTCAACATTGCATCCTATTCATTCACCTACTGAATAAGTCGATGACAATCGTATAAAATACACTCACCTATATGTAAACTACACAGTTGAAGGTAAAAATTTACCACAGTCAGAATATCGAGATCACAGTGTATGACACCATAAGTTGTTAGAAGACAGTGAGCAAATTATAAAACAATACAGTCAAATAAAATTTAATGAAGTAATGCATGTCAACATAATTTTAGCATCAAAAGAGTAGACTGCTAGTTAAATACCACAAGTAAAGCCTAGGTACCATGTACATAAATAAAACGTTTTTGCTTATTTGTCATACTAGTCGTCCAGTGAGATCACATTCTGTCAGTTCTAACCGCATTCAGTGGGAAATTATGGAAGGAGTAAGTGGTTTATAGTAAGGCTATCTGACATAGCCTTGATACTGCAGGCTTTTATTAATGTAAGTGGTGACCGAAGGTGAAGTGAAAATGTAGTGAGAAGTCGTAAGCACCATTTTCCACTAAGTTATGTAAGAGGACGTTTAGTCACCACTGACATTGGCTAGCAGTTACGCTATGTATATCGCCAATTTGTGGAAGTTGAAACTCATGGGCCTATGGATCGAGTCTCAGTTCTTGAATAGTCTACGAGCTCTTCCTGTAACCCAAAGGACCTAGGTTGGAACCCTGGTGGTTGCGTACTGACGGAAAGTACCGACCCAGAGCGAAACAGGTGTTTAGTGCTACTTGGTTCTCCGAAAGTTCTCTGATTGATGTAGGCCGATGATTAAACCTGTGAAGAAAATTAGGATTTTAATGTATGGATACTGAACAAAGAGTACTCTTTTCGATAAATTCATCATCAGGCTCTACATTTATACATACATTATAGTGAATGAATGAGTTAGTGTTATAAACGACATTAAAGTTTAAATAACATCAAATCAATAATATTGATAGATTACAGCTGAATCGCATCAACATAAAATGAGCTGAATGTCAGAAACATTAGGAAAGATAATAGTACAAATTCATGAGTTTATAGCTTCTACTGAAGGGCAGGGCAATAGTAGGGACTGGAATTGCTTCTTTTGGACACAGAGTGCTGATTGTTTGAGGCCAATCACAATAGCCTCTGCTGTTTGGAGCCTGCGGTGCTTCGATGTTTTTGGTAATTTATTTGGCACCCGGTATAATATAGAGAATTATTCATCTACGCTGGCTTTGTGTCCTGTTTGCACCAGATGTTCCAATATCGAGTTGTTAATAGTTTTCACTACACCTTTACTTAGCCATGCTGGGAGATGTTCTCGAGCACGAAAAATTAAGTTCCTAGAGCAACGGCTAATATAACTGACTCCACAAGCGCAGTTGTGTCCAGAAGAAACAAGTCCAGTCCCTACTATTGCCCTGCCCTTCAGTAGAAGCTATAAACTCATGAATTTGTACTATTATCTTTCCTAATGTTTCTGACATTCAGCTCATTTTATGTTGATGCGATTCAGCTGTAATCTATCAATATTATTGATTTGATGTTATTTAAACTTTAATGTCGTTTATAACACTAACTCATTCATTCACTATAATGTATGTATAAATGTAGAGCCTGATGATGAATTTATCGAAAAGAGTACTCTTTGTTCAGTATCCATTCTTTTGAAAATTTCAATTGGCATTTTTAATCAGTTAAGATTTTAATGTAGTTGTCTTCTCTGGGCTGGAGGGTTTATTTGTGAAGCTTTCACGGCCCCACTAGGCAGCATCTTCAGGGAATCCTAAAATTTGAACGCTGTCACAGTCTAAATTTTCATTTCATCTTCAATCATCACCAATTACATCAGTAATAGTGTGCCGATTCAATTCTCCAACTTCATAGCCAATTAATCCCTCCTCTACAGTAATATTTATGCATGAATCACATGTAAAGCTTATTTTTGTTGTCAATAATATGACTTGGTCTTTTCTTTCCTTTTACACACTTGATAAATGTCGAAATGATAACATCCGCATTAAAATTATTCTATTTTGATGGTTAGATTTACGGCTTTATTTTGGGAATGCCTAAAGAACCTTGTAAACGTATATAAAAATGAGCAAAATTCGAGTAGAGAGCTTTCATGCTAAATAGTGATGTTTCATAAGAGAACCAAACATGTAAAAATTACACAGCATTAAAAAGCAACAAAATCTGTTTTCACTTTGAAGTTTAGTAAACGTACTTATAAAGCTTGAGCGAAGAAATATTTACTTTTCAATTAGATCTTCATCTCTGGCTCTACTCTAATGTATATAGCATTTTTATTACAATACAACAGTTTGCCAATCAAGTTGCAAATTTGTCTTCTACAGACAGCTGAAGCAATCGGAATTCACCTGAAGAAGCCAAGCCTATGTGTTCAGAAAAATTTGTACAGCCACTTCCCTTACCGTGGCCATCGTTACAAGAATGCATAAAACAGGACTACTTCGGCCCCCTCCACCTAAGCCTTTAAAAACTATAAAAAATTATAATTGTCCAAATAATTTTATTTTTATTTATTTTGACCACTTCATCTTTAATTTACGTGTTATCCTTGTAAAATTAATTTGTTGTAAGCATTCTACCTTTTTAAATGTGTGTTGATTTTCTTCTTTAATTATTAACCCATTGACATTCTGATACCGTTTAATTGTTGTTAACAAACATATCGCCACTTGTTTGGTAAACCGTTAAGTACTGTAATAAAAATGCTCTATATATTAGAGTAGAACCAGAGATGAGGATCTAAATGAAAAGTAAATATTTCTTCGCTCAGTATTTTTATTTTCTAAATGTCTAAATGGAGTTTTTTTTCTGTATTTATAAAGCATTGGTTTATTATTCATATTGTTACTTCTGCTTCTACTTTTCTGTGGTTACAATGATTGTCTTGACCAGTAGTGAACCATAAGCTCAATCCACAGGTAGACTGGAGGCTTATAATAAGTACATGAGTGATGAAAAGTTCCATTCGTGTCAGTTGAATAACTACTTGATAGGAAGGTGTTTTTAGTCACAGTGGGGATTGTTTCACTGATGCTGAACAATAAAATATTAACATTAGTAATGGCATAAGCTGTGTTAGCATCCCTTAAGAAAATAGTATAGCTAAGGCGTGCATAGCTCGGCGAAATATAAATGCATCATTGATTTGGTTGTATTTATGGAGTGGTTAGTGTTTCACCCTTTAAGTTAAACAGACTGTTACATAAACGGTTTAAAAAGTAGAAACAAAAAAATTTCCAGATAACATATCACTCTACACTTATCGAAGTGGATCATTAAGACTTTCTACATCCTCTATTTTTCTTCTGGTGTATATACTGATACTATTATAAATGTGGTTTATTTGTTTTTAATTGGAATGCTGTAGTTTCAACTCTGTTCCCTTTGTTAGGTACAGTCTGGGCTATTTGTAAGTGCATGTAGTTAGAAAGGAAGGTATTTCTTATTTCGATTTTCTACTTCCTCTATTTGGCTTCCTTGTCACACTGTCTGTCTAAACAACTGTTGGATATTTGGTTGCTTTCATTTGTTTTTCATGCTTATCAGTGAATCAGTCACTATGCACTCATTTCTAGGTTGCTTTACTTCTTTTGCTAATTATTAAATGCGGCTGATTCCTTAAAAATTGTGAGCGAATTTCAGTCTTGAGTATGAGCTGTTCGTTTTGAAGCAGAAGTGCACGATCATTCGTTGTTTGTAAGTGCTTGCAAAACGCTCATCACTTATGATATGGTTTATTTCAGTTGGGTAGGTTGGGAAAAGGTTAAAACCTGAATTCATCAGTAATTTTCAGCATGAAGAGACGGTTACAACTGTTGAATATCTGAATAACCCTTAAACACTCTTATATATGTCACATTTAATGTTATTGTATTATTTCAGTTTGTGTTTGTCTTTGCTAATTGTATCGAGGCTGTCTCTAAGTGCCAGCTACATAGCTCTGCATGTGCTATTGTGTGATGGAGATAGTATTCTTATCCAGATTTCCATATATTTCCAAATATCTACTTTTTCGTAAATATGGGTGGTATGTATTGTATTCATTCATAACTCGTTTTGCCCAGGTTAACTTCAGTTATGGAAATGATTGATTGTGCATTTTTGAGCGATCACAAACCGGAAAAAATATCCATCTATCCATCCATCAAAAGATGCTAATTTATCGTAGAAATCAGTAATCTTTTCACACTCGTTTTGCTGGTGGAATTAATTTCCATTGTTATTGATAACTTGCTGCTCCCCTTGACGAGCACAGTGATCATTCTTCTCTTGCTAACATACTCATCGCCTAACACATACTAATTATTAATTGAAGCAACTAACTCCTTATTCACATATCACCACAAACTGTTCGCAGTGTCGTTTGAATATTTAAACGTGTGTTTGGTTCTTCAATTTATTGACAGAGTGGTTCTGTAACTTTATAGCCGGCCGACCATTTTTTTCTCTTTTGTTGATTCCTTCTGTCTATTACTAATACTACAATTGTTTGATTGATTCATCCTTATCGTTCTAATCGTCATTGCTATTAACACTCTTACTATTGTTATTGTTATTTATTATTATTATTATCATGATCGTCGTGCGTGGTAGTGTCACATGGGTTCTGTAGTCATTCTCTCTCTCTCTCTCTATATATATATATATATATATACCCTTTAAAAAGTAAACTTCTACACATTCAAGATTTCTTATAGCTTAGGCTACATCAGATTTGTAGTGTATTTTCCATTGCTGAATGACTTTTCCAGTCTGTTACTGAATGGTTTAATTTCTTTGCATTGTTTTTCTCAAAAATATGTTCTGCTTGTGAGCTGGCTTTACATTTGGCTGCTAAATCGAGAGAGTGAAAGAAAACTTCCTTATAGGATTGTTGTCAGGAGAAATGCCTACAGAGAATTTGTTGTAGGCCTAAAGTTTATGTTTGAAAAAGATCATTAAACAACAACTCATGCAAATGCTATCTGCGCTTGTCTTTGTCTTACGATTGCCATTATTTTAATTTTATATTGCTAGTGCGAGAGTACTCGTTATGCATTGTAGCAGTGTAGTTCTTTTTCGTCTTACTTCTTTTTGTTGCTAGTAGCTGGTTACTTTAACTTCACTTTTTATTTGATTCCAGTGACTTCATTTATTTAACACACTATGTTGTGATATATTCGTGCTTATTCTTATACATATTTGTCTTGAGTGCGTATTATTTAAGACAGAAAGCAGTACACTATGAATAGTGAAACTTGTTAACTGCACAAGTAGTCTCCTGTAATGACCGTTGCTAGGTTTAGTCTACTGCTAAACTGGTTTTGAGGCGTGTTAATTGAAGGAGAAATAATCGAAGTGAAGCCTCATGTTGACTGTCTTGTATTGTCGCGGAATAAATGTACAAAATAGGTTGTAGACAAGTATATTCCCCTTGATTTAGTCAGCTAGAGTAGAATAGAAATTTATGAAGGTGGACTTTGGAAAATACAGCAAAGAAGCTTTTAGGCAGTGGCACGAGTGCAACTTCCATGTAAATCTTTGTTCCCTATTCTATATTTGTGTTATTTTTTCTTTTGGACGTCGAATATTGTAACTGTTTATTTCTCTCCATTTTCCTGTCGATGCACTACTACACTGTGTAACAGTTTCGATCACTTGATGGTATTAGATGGTTGGAGGCAATCAGCAGGAAGCCTTGGACCCAGGTTTCGTGCTAGTTGGCACTCGTCAGCAAGGCGTATCTACAACCTTGAAGGAACTCATGTCCCTTCTGAGATTCGAACCCGCGTCACCCAGTGCTGCAGTCAGAGACGTTACCACTGGGCTATTCGGGTCCGCGATTGACCTCCTGTAGGACTGTAGTGGATATTTTGATTTGACACTAGTAACTAGTGTGATGCGTCTAGTCCTCTGATTGGTAATGTGACCACCATTCTAGCTAGCTCGCTATCACGGTGAACATTGATTTGATGGTATTAGATGGTTGGAGGCAATCGGCAGGAAGCCAAAAACAGTACCAGGCTTGTCTGTCTGTTGTGTACCTGTTTGTTTTCTAACTCTACAACAGAACTCGGAACTATTTAATAAGAGACAAATATAATTTTTCAGATTACAATTCTTATCAGTGCCGCGAAGTTGAAGTTAACGGCAACATTGAAAACCTAATCAATTGATTTTGATCACTACACTTAGGACCGAGACTACCTCCCGATATTCGATTCATATGGAGTTATTTAGAGATGACCAATACTTTATCTTATGTAGGTGGAATGTATTTTGTACGTGTGTGATGCAGATATTTAACAAGCTTTCAATTTACTATTGCCTTTAAACGAGCTTTAAAGATCAGTAGGACAATTGTCTCATTTTTGTTGTCGCTTGTTAAAAAGGGTAAATATTTTCAAAATTATTTTATCAGGGAATGAGTGGCGTCGGTGGCACAGAGGTTAGGACTCTCGCCGACCATGCACATGGTCCGGGGTTCGAACCCACGCCGACGCACACCTGATATCGATGGTCGGCCTGAGAAATTTGGGCTACCGACATCCATGCTGAAAATTCCATACTTGTACCAAAAAAAGTAGTGTGGAATCAAGCTGTAATCAAAAATAAAAAAAATAAATAAAAAATAAGCATTCCTAAGAATTCATTTGCAATAAATAACAGGCCTTTTTGACTGACTTTATTAATCTGCGTGATCTTTTTTTTTGTTATTTACTGCATACAGACAGTTCAATCATTTTCGAACAATGAAGAAATTTCTGTTTTAAGAATTGGAAAGAATTCTGATTCTGTTTTTAGTCAACCAAATAAAAATGATACGCATAGAAATGATCTACCATCAGTGTTAAATATCATAGGTAAACTAACATTTCTTGAATATTACTTTGTCTGTATGCCTTCAGATAGATTATTATTACTATTATTATTATCAACACCAAATATTATTAATACTTACTATTCAGTACAAAACTCAAGGTCCCTCTTTGTCTTCAACAAAGAACTCAGTATTTCGATAACAGGCTTTGAGATTGACTCCGACTGCCCCTGCTTCTAGGTAGGCAACTGGTTAGTACTGACAACCCTGGTACAAAAAGTGTGCAATAGAGCCGGATATGTAAAAATATGATCTAAGTTACCGAATTATAACTCCTTGATTTAGACTTGTATCTTCCAATGACACCAAGGGAAACTTTCGTTCTAAATTATTCAGGTTATAACTCATCCTCTGTAGAACTGACTCATACACACAAACTAGTTTTATAAAGATAGCCGTTGGGTTTTCTTATCAGTAGGGAATTTATCTTTTTCATAGCTCCTTATCTCTTTGTTGAGTATAATATCTTATTATTACACAGCTAAGCATTTCTCACTGATAAAGGTTTATACTATATCCTGCACTACTTTGTCATTCAATTGTTACGTTGAATCTTGTGACAACTTTTACCTATAATTAAATCGATCAAATTTTTTTCAGGCAACAGCAACAACGAGGAAGACGAAGAAGACAAAGCATCTGAAAGTGATTTCACAGATGATATTGAAAGAGGTAACGAACAATCTCATGACATCTAGATATGTTTCTTGATACAAACTGTTAACCAATGAATGTAATTTTTCGTTTATTGCCAATAACTAGGCTGTTTATAAAATATGAAGTGAGTTTATCGTCTCCATATTCATATGAAAGAATAAACTCATCAGTTGCATTAAAGCAATCGTCGAATTGAAGTTTATGCCGAGAATTTCAATGAAAGCTGTCTAGCAAGCATGATCAAATCGAATCACACCTTTCAGTATACACAGGCATTTTTGAAAATATTATTCATTTGAAGATAATTTGTTTTTATTTATAATCACCAGTAATGATAAGTTTCGGTAAACATGATACGAAAGGAATATGGTAAAATAAATTAGCACGGTAGAAATTAAATATTTAGTATTTCTGTTATCGAACCCAATTTTATCAGCTGAAGTATGTGCCACAACTCTCAGCCACATCTAACTTTCACTATGGTTAGTGAAAATTGTGTTTAACTTATGTCATCTAGTGTCCTAAGATCCATTTTTCAGTGGTCAAGTGCACAGCAACCAAGCTACCTATGTATTTCAAAACACCTAAACCCAGTAGTCGGTGACCTGGATAAATGTTGATCAAAACGACTAGCTGGAATAATCTAACTATTTATTCCTTTAATAGGATGATGAAAACCTGATATTTCTACCTTTAACAATATTATAGTATCAGTCATTTTCAAAATTTCTTACTCTATTTAACTGTATGGTTTTCAACTATTTGTAGATGCAGTATTGTTTAGTTCCAATGGTTTCAAGGCTCCAAAAAATCTTATCATGGAAGTCTTATCGGATGGTTAGTCTCGTTTGTAATTAAAATATGGTCCAAAACATATTTTTAAGTAAAAGATTTTACGGTTTGCTGGATGCAAAGGGTTTGAAAAAAGTTTTTGTTTCATTTCTTTCTGTTCAGAGTGGGGCATAGTGATTCTTTATAAGCTTTGAAGATTCATGAATGGTCATGAAGCTGCTGGGCTCAGGCCTAAGCTTTGCTCATCTCAAGAGTTACCATTAGCTAATTAAGCAGACAAGGTTTAGGAGTGAGTCGGCCAGGACAGCTTGCGTGGCTGTCGAATATTCTATCGTTGAACTGCCAACGCAGATGTAGCTATGAATGAAGGTTTATAAAAAGAAATTTTATAATATAACTGGTAGAGTTCTCACTTACGCATCAGTTGACTGAACAGATGTCTATTCAGGTTAAAGTGTTATTTATACCCAATGCTATATGCTAAAATGAATGAGTAGAGTTTCGACATAGACGAATTCGCTTTCGAATAAATGATATAATCATCCGGTTATGTTTTCAAAGATAGTTATATTTCAAGTAAATATTATATAATTCAGGGGATAAATATATGTTAGTATCCATTAACAAAGATTTCCATCTGTTAAATCTGTGAGGCTAATCGGCAATGAACTCGACTGGTACACTCATATGCCTATTCGTCCGTTGTACCTTACAATTCTCTGAGCCACACAAATATAAAAAGACAGAGGCTGGCTTGTGACTGTAAGATACTGTGCATTTATTAGGAAAATGACATATGATATTTATACATTTTTACCCTATTAAAGTCGGCTGACAGCCATAAGAATCGACTGACCACACAATAAGTCACAATATGCGTAAGAAAGGATGGTATGCTATATGGTATTTTATGCAGTATCCTACCACTTCCCCCATGAAAAGTGTAGGACTGTATATTGGATCTGGTTGGAGAAAATCTAGTTTTTCTTCTAGAAAAAATTCTTGCTGGATATAACTTATTCGAGGCAGAAGTATTTGGTGCCGTATGATAAGGCGGCAAAAATCTATCTAAGATATCTCTCATTGTTCCCTCCCCATTCCTTGTTATGAAACCACACTTGGAGGCATCGAAGAAGGGTTCACCTTGTCCATAGGATTGGGGTTGATAATGAATTGGACGTTTAGGGCTGAAAACTAGCTTAACTCTCGGCATCAGAGTTGAAGGTCCCTGGCTATACTTGCTGTAACCAAACTTCTTCTGGAAGAATAGTGCATACGAGTGTTGCCACAGAGATCGACATGATGCATGGTATGAAATGAAATCATTTGAGGAAGGTGACACGTTAAACATACTGAATTCAATAAAACATTGGAGAGATTGAGCTTATCTAACCAGTCAAGACCAAGTAGGTTTAAATCACGATGGTTTGTGAGAAAACATACACCGTTAAATTGATGCTCGACCTGATCCATGAGTTCTAGCACATCTTTATAGGCACTCTTGGCAATTAGCTCTGTCAGAAGAATCTGTTGGCACTCAAGTATCTGCCATGTGTTGCGCAAAATTAAGGTGATATCTGATACCGTACCCAAGTGAAGACGAATAGGTTTGCTGTTAATAGATAGGGTAAGATACTTTCGTCTACTGGCAAAGTCGGCTTTGGTCGGCGCCATTTTGCTGTACCCAAGGGGGTTGTTTTGGCTAGAAAGAGCTACGTTTGTCCCTCATCCAAAGGTTTTTCCGTGATGGATGGTAACACTCTTTATGCCCAAAACAGTGACACTAGTGGCATTTATGTTTCTTGAAAGGACGAAATTTGACAAAATGCCATGAATTAAAGTACCAGCACACTGGCGGAGGTTTGGCTAAATTTTGGGACTGATGTGCTGTATGTTTAACGGTGGTCGGAAGAGTTTTCGCTACGTTAACTGAGCTTAATTTAAACGGCTGTGATATGCACTCCACCATAGGAGTGTCGTGTTTCAAGTTGATTAGATTTTGGCATTCTGCTGTCACCATTTGTAAAGTCGTTTTCGGGTCTTGTTCCACTAGTGACAGAAGTTCATTTCTAATGTCAGCAACTTCTGGGTTGTCCAAACCGCAAATAAAAATCAAACACTTGAACTGATCTGATTTCGTCTCTAGTGGCTTGAATCTTTTACATTCCCGGTTGACTTTGCCAGTAAAAGTGATACAATCATCGGAAGGCATTTTTGTTACCTGAAAACATTGATACCGAATATTAAACTGGGATGACTGTTCACTGAAAATTTTGGATTAAAGGGTGAATTTATCATCGAGAAATTCACGTAAGTTCTTTGGCAGAATGAAATTAACATGTTTGTTTTGCTCGACAATAACGGGGTTTTGCAATAACAAATGAACTTTGGCAGCAGCATCAAACATGGAACATCCAATATGGGAAACGTCTTCATAACGGTTGAACTGTGCATCAAATACGAGACCAGATACTGGATCGCAGTTGAACGCAGTGATATAATATGAGATGCTGTCGTATTTATCTGCATGAGGTGTTGTGGAAACTTGAATAGACAGCCTCTCAAAATCCACATTTAAGACAATAAAGCCTTTCATTTGTGCAATTGTACGGTTGTTTTTATTCATTTGGTAGTGTGTTACAATCTTTACTAGGATGAATTGTTGTATTCTGTCTTCTCATGTTATTTTGTAACAACAGAAGACAAGAGCCGTGCAACAGATCGTTTATTGAGAAAATCAAGAGGCATTTGTAGATTTTTATGTGCATTATTATTATTGTTATCGGAGAAGCAACCTCTTCTGATTGGTTGTTTTCCTGCTGAAGGTTGTTCCGTTATCTCTTTTTGAGGCCGTTTCTCAGAAAATCAAGTCATATATCTGTGAATCATATTTCCACACTTTAAGTCCTTTGTAATCGGCTTGTGGTTTTCCCAACGTTAAGCTTTGTTATTGTTTCTTCATGACCCTGATTCAGGACGTGAACATTGACGTAAATTGTTGTCTACAATTTTGGCTTGCAGACAGCTGTCACCATTGACATTATCCTCAGCTATGAAAAACTGAAACGTTTATTCCCCATTGGGTTTCAAGTACATCCCACCGATTACTATTAATAAGCATAAAAATCTAAATCGAGTATTTCTTATCTTCTTAGACTACGCAACATTACTAATATCTAGATAATGGGTTAATGTTTGAATCTCGATTAATTTCAACCTAGATTTCGTCATTGAATTCTGGTCCGAGAAACTGAATGATCATTAAGCTTGAACTGGTTACCTGATTATCCCCAATTTCGCCCCTTGCAGTGGTGTCATGGGTGCACACTGATGAAAAGACTAAAACTAGATTGAATTAAGCTGTCCAGTTGCTTCAGGTTTTCAATGATCACTCTCTAACTGATATTGGCCGGTAACGAAATCCAAGTTGAAACATTAATTTTTGTTAACTTCTCTACATTTCGCCTTATATTTTTGTTTATTATTCTTACAGGTCAGCTTGAGGAAGATATTATTTTATCTGAAGAAACAGTAAGTCTGAGAGAATTATATCTGATTATTATATTTTAACTAGAAGTCGATTTGCTTTATTTAGTAATCCCTGAGAGTTGTTCTTAAATTATCTTCTAAGTTAGTAAGTAAGGAATCGTTTCTCTTATTCTACATCAGTTACTCACATCTTAGCTTATGCACTCGTAATAAGATTTGTATAAATTTAATGTTCTAGCAGCAGGTAGATATTTCATGTCTCAAAAGTTATTTTATCTTTTCAGTTGCCTGCTGTGTATGTAAACTGTCTCCGTAAAGTTGTTTGCGTTCGACAGCACAATCGTGTGAGTAATTCTTAGCTTCAACAGTGTGTGTCTGGATACGGTAGTCACCATTCACTGAGTGTTGTCACCTTTGGTGACTTCGACGCGTGCCCCGAATGTCATCCCTGAGGCTTCCGCGCCGTTCTGTGTTTGTTATCCCTGGGATCGAATGTAAAATGTGGGACAATCGTCAGCCTTTGATGTGGCACCGTGGCTTGAGGGATATTTGTGTTATGCTAGCGTCATCCGGTACACCATGACTCCCTTGTTGCGGTCCGGGAGGTAGTGTGGACCAGTGGTTCAAAACGCTTTCACATTTAGTCATGAATCGCATGGAGATTATGCCTCGGTTTTTTTCTTTCTTCCCTTTCCAAGAGTAATGGTAGTGATGAGTGTTGAATGGTCCTGATAAACGTGCCTACTTGCTTGCTGGTTGATGTCTCTACTTCTTATATGTTAATGTTTTATTACAGTTGTGTGGCGCATCTCTCTGTGCCCAAAATGAACCTTTTTTTTAAAAAAATAAATGAATGAAGGAGAAATAAAAATAGCTGTTCTTTTAAACTGAACAGGTGGGTTGGGTTGTGCCTCTAAAATGTGCTAAATGTAGCGTGAATATATATATTGAAAGTAAGAAATGAGTGGAACTCAGGAAGAAACATAGCACTTTACTGCTTATAGAGATATATGATCTATTAACAACTTCTTAATGTCCACAAAATGGAAGTTTGCTTTTACTGAAACCTCTAGGAATAAAATATTGTCATTGATTGTGCTTCCTGTTGATTACAGATGTTGACTGTAGAACTCTATAAAGAGCTTCCTGAAATCAGTTCAGCTAAAACATCAGGTGATTTTCATGCACACTTCACTACCCTTTAATCAGTGTTTCATCCTTTTTACCATAAACAAACTAAAATACCGTGCTAAAATGTCGGGTTTGGTGAAATGGTAATGAAGGTTTCACCTATTAATTGACAATTACTGTGCTTATTATTTGGTGTATTAAAATTTTCAACGTTTTGCCGATGATTAGCTTCTATTTTGACTGCTACGAATTGTTCAGTAATTAATTACCTGTAAAATTACTTCAAATGTATGTCTTCCTTTTGATTGACTAATAGGATTTGTATATATTGATGTCTGTTTTTTAATGTTCTTCTAGGATCTTAAGCATCTTAAAATATTGTTAATGTAATGTTTAATACTTCGGAGTGGAATTCTGGAATTATGGGTAGTTGTTTCATCTTGAAATTCCCTATACTAAGCATATCCATAGTTCATTTAATAGGTGTATGCTGAAATTCAACGGCTTCACTTGAAAAAAGCACTTTTAGCCATTCAGTATATATGGAAAGAGAAGATGAATACTAATATTTTTTGGTATCCAGACAAGCATGTAACTGTATATGGAGTGCATACAACTATGCTGTAAATAAACCAAATAATATTCTAGCTAACAACAGAAACACAATTTCTATTTTAAGTGTATTTTGTTTCCCTGAAATGATGTAAAGATTGAGAATCTTAGTGGTATTTTCTGGAAACTGTTTGTTTTGTGTATCTGTGAATATGAGATTCTATTTTCCGGTTGAAATACATCAAATATTCTACTACTTATTCTGATTTCTAATCAGTAAACATTGAATACTGCGTAATTTATTTGAGATTCTCCTATCTAACTAGTTGAATTTCAGTAAACGAATAATAGTCTTGGTTTTTCAAAAAAAAACTAATTTTTTCTTCGATTGGATAAATTTTACTTTGCAGATCCGGGAGGATTCGTCACGTATTCCAAAGGTATGTCAGACTGTCAGTCAATTCATTTAAACTATAAAATATCATTATGGAGTCACAGTTTGTATTTGACATAATGCGACTCAAGTTACTAGTTAAACAGAAGAATGTATGTATGAAATATTATACTGGTAAAACAATAGTTAATGGCGAAAACAATGTTAACAAACACAAAAAAAAGTATCATTTCTTGTAAGGAATGATATTTATTATGAAACAGTTTCAATTTAGCGATAATGAATAAGGATGAGGTTACTAGTAGTAGTTCAAAACCACAAAAATAGGAAAGCTGAGTGTATGGCGTTTGTGTTATTGTCAGGAATTTTCTAGTAATATATCGAATGTGTGTTTTCATCTGCAAGAATCTTGGAAATTAATGGTTGTTAGCATATTGTTCCTTATATAGGAAACAATATCTTACCAACCTGATTCTGCTTCTACGTATGTCAGTTTACAGTGACTAACTGTATCAGTATAATATATAAGCCGTCCCAATCTACGCCTACATACACACATATATTAGAAAACATACACACATATATTAGAATGTTTTAAAAAAGAAATTGAAGAAGGTTACTAGAAGGGAAGCATGCACATAATGAAGTTTCCTAAAAATAATTAAGATGAAGACAAGCTGTGAATTTACTAGTACTATTGGGATCTTTTTTGGACCATGTCATTCCAATTCTTTAACAACAGTTTCTGATGGACACTTAAACTCCAGGAGAAGCAGGCTGCGTTTTTCAGCCCAGCTCAGAAAAATAGTCAGTGACTACATAAACTGATATCACTTCTTGGTCTGATCACTCTCTGTTTTCACCAGCATAATGCTACCTTCACTGAGAAGTGAAGCCATGATCAATACATTTTTACTTAATTTGATGTATATTCCTGTAACTCTGTGATTTTACATCTATATGAGCAAAATGGCATTTATAGTCTTCATTCCACTTAAATTCTATAAGTACTTTGAAAAAAATATGCGAGAATAATAATTTAAGATTTTTAATGAATTCCTTTCCAAAAATCACGTCTTATAGAGTAACATAATGTTCTCAGTTTTTCGACAGACATTCACATGTCTTAATAGCCTAAGTTTCGAGTTAATCCTTATATCGGTGCATAAATATTCTTGAAGATAAATAAAATGCACTGTGAAAATGAGAAAATCAGTTTAAATATGGAAAGCTTTATTGCTTTGATTGAAGAAGGAAGCCCGTAGATCATGCATGATTAGAAAATGTGTAAATATTATAGATTCTTTCCACCTAAGAATTACTGGAACTAAAGACTAGGCTAATGTGTTTGCAGTTCATCTGAATGAAACACTGTACAATGAGTTATTTGTCTCTGTATTTGGTACAGACAAGAATAAAAAGTATTTAGCATAGCTGTTACTGTTAGCGTTTACTAGGCGTTCAAAATTAGTGTCAAATAAAAATGATACTAGCAAAGCGTAGACTTTAACACACTTATTTTAAAACTCTTCTTACCAGCTTTACTATTTTCTTTAGTAATACTACATCTCAACAAAGTGGTTCATCATTTATCATACTTTTATAATGTGTTGGGTAATAGTCGAAAACTCTTGATGATATAAATCGTGGTAGGCTAATGTATATAACTCATATATTCACCCCATATTATCATTGAAGTTTTGGTTAATTTCACTGATTTTAATTCTACTATACTTTCTACTCTTAAGACTATTCTTCTTGGATTTTACATAGTTCTCGTCTTGTTTACCTACTATTTTGTTGTTGTTACACAACTATGACGAATCAAATTATGTGGAGGCCGAACAATGATTTTGCACATTTATTTGATAAACGTAGAGAAAACAAGTCATCAGTCTATAAATAATTTCTTGGAACAAGACGAAATATATAGTTCATTATTCATACATCAGGTAGACGGTAATCTTAAGAATACGCTTTGAAAATAATTGAGGTAGCTGTCAACAAATTTTTTTCATTTCGAGTGGAGCACAAGGTTTCAGGCTTTGAAGCTCTAAAGTTTCACTGTAATTGGCGTTTATTTTTAAATAGGTAGCGTAGGTTAGCCTTACGCCTAAGCTACCCTCTTTACCGGGTTTATCACTGACTAAGCCAGGTTTAAGAGCACATCGGGCGAGAATTCAACCATGACCATGTACGTGGTTACCGAACATTCCACCATCAAACCATCATAGCACACAATTTCGACAAATATAATGCATTTAAGTAGCAGTGTAAGTAAAACTTATACTTTTTTGTAAATCTAACGGAAATAATCTCATAGTCTTTACTAATAAGTACTTATATTTCATGTATTTATTTTTCAGTCTGCATTTATTGAAGATTCATACAATGAAGAATGTAATCTATTTAACAAGTCAAATATACAGGTATCCGATGTTTCTTCAAAGGAAAATAATAACAAGAATGAAAATATCATTATGATAGACAATAATAATGAAGATAGTGATGAAGCTGACACTGAAAGAATTGAAGATGAAAAAACTTAAGATAGTCAAGAAAACAACATTTAATCAGAATTATAGATGTATACAAAAATTGTTCAAATATCATCTATTGTAGGGAGTTATTCACATCAATAATATAAGCAACTTTAACAAATATATATGCAGTGAACCCAGTGATTATTTACTTATAACTATTGATAATTTTGTTTATCTCTGCTGGAGAATCTAAATCAACAAGTAGTGAACTGGGTTAACAGATAGTCAGTACACTTTTGACAGTTTTTGAAATAGTATGTATAAATATAGACTGATGTGACCATTGTTTGAGTGCGTGTATACATGTGATTATACTTATTAAAAAACACTACGAATTAACGCTTGCAGGCAGTTGGAAATACATAGAATCACATGCACTATACAAATTAATAGTTTACCCGCTAGAACATACTATAATTGCAATCGTCAACTTACAATTAATTTGACATGATGTAGTGAAGGGGATCATTACTATAATAGTTAGGTATACTTTAAATAGAATTTGCAAGAAAGAATTAAACAGCCTCTGTTGACACATTGAGTCTGAGTGTAGATCCCCTCATGCTGTGCTTGACCCATATAAATGACTATGCCAGATAATTACTATTGTTAGTATCAGTGACATTATCCAGCCTTATTCAAGCCCTAATTAAATACAAATATAATGAAATAAAACCCAGTTTCCATGATGAAACCCATCTTCGTAACAAAAATGGATTGATCAATGAAATTCTGAATATCAATAATTAATAAACTGAAAGCTTTGACAGGAACTGATTTAAGATACGTTAGTGGAGAGCGCTCTGTAAGAAACAAATGTGATAAGGAACACCAGCAAAGATTCGCATGATTTTCAAATATGATGAAATATGAGTCATGATATTCATTTGTGGACATAATTTCAATAATCACTGTCGTAAATGCACCACACTATGAGAAAAATTCATGTTTTCTAAACTCAAATGTCATTGAAACTTTTTAGTCATAGGCACCAAATATTAATGTCTGATCGTAGTATAATTTTATTTTGTACCCTGTATACAGAAACTTTTGCACGTAGGTAGTTTGCATTAACACATTTCCAGGTATGATTATGAGCAAAAAATTGTGCTCGAGACATCATCCGGTTATCACTACTGAATCACTGCGTGTTATATCCAATCAACTTATTTAATGTGGAATTATATTCTACCACAATTCCTAAATTCTACGCTCAGATGAAAAAAATCCTGAACTCAGTCAAAATATTTCATAGGATGGGAGATCACAGTCATTTCATTTGCATCACCTCATTAGTAGGAGAAAAAAGCGTACGAAAAACATCTATGTTTATAAATCAGTTCAATTAGAATCCATATCAGATATATCTATGCTATATAGGAGCCTACAAGTCAAATCATTTAAGTAGACATTGCTGGTAAATTTATGATTCTTATTCTTTAAAGTTATGAATAGCTTTCATTTAAATATATCGAGTTCGAGTCCCAGTGGGTGCGTACTGCCGATGATTCCCAAACTAGGATGAAACAGCTGTCTAGTGCTTCCTGGTTTTCAATGGTTCTCTAACTGATATCAATCCGTGATCAACTCGTAAAACGCAGATGTATCAAATAAATAATATGTTACTCTAAAGCGAGTCAAAACAAATGCTATAGTGACAGTATGCCTTATAAAATAAATACAGTAACACACGAAAAGACAGATTTTATATGCAGAAAGAGGAAGTGAAAGCAATAAAATGAGAATGACAAAGTTTATGAATATAGTAAAGGCATTTATTTTCCCCATCATTTCAGGTGGTTAATTCATACATTTTGAGAGCTGTGAAACTGAACACATGCAAATATTTACTTTGATGGACTTTCCAATTTGTTTGATAAGCTCCATGACTGAGAAAGAAATGAAACCGACTTAGGTGTTACATTGCACTCATTCCCTTGATTACAGTCGTTTAAATTGCATAAACACAACCACTAGACAAGTAAAAAAAGCCATTGATATAAGAACTCCTAGCTTTCATCTCATCTGATCTCACTTAGATTTAAAGTGATGAATGAATTCTCGCGTTTTCTAGACATTCCGAGACAGATGTTTTCAGGCGCATTCCTGAAATTGTCGTACAATAACAAGCTACAGATGATAAATGTAAAATTAATTATCATGAAATAATCTGTGGTTGAAGTACTGTTATTAGCAGAATTTCGAATATTATATTTTTCTTATCCAAAACGCCATCATACTAACTGCTCATATTACTCCACCAAAATTATTAGTGTAGGTAGCAAAAGTAATAATTTCATTTTTCTTGCTCCATATCAAATAACAATTGTTCTGCGTGCTCATATGAAATATTTTTTATTCGCTTTATTATTATTCAGAAAGAAAACTTAGTATTATTAGAGTACTTGGTTAAGTTCAGTTGATTTATTTTTCTTTGCATGCCATCGATAATATAGTTCTATGAAATGATTCCTATATTTCAGTATTCTCTTCGTTATCGCAGAGAATACTATACGTTATTATTCACAGGAACTCAGTCATCAGTTTATATAATGTTTCATAGAGAACTTAATAACATAAAATATCTTAGTGAAGGCCGACTGATTTCGCATGCAAATACGGCAGTCCAATTTGCCAGACTTTGAATAAAGACACATAAAAGTAGACAGAAGAAATGCAATGAAACTACAGTGTGAGAAGACATACAAGACAGAGAACAATTAAACTTAGATTAGTGAAGAGTTGCGGAATCTGTACTATAAAAAGAATTTATTCCATCATAACCATTAACAATGACTTGGAGAACATAACACTAATAGTCTACAACCACCTTTGCTTAAAATCCAGGTGATCCTGACCTCTATATGGTCTTCTCATGGTTATGAAACTCTGAATCCTAGACATTGCGAGAGTGAAACTCATCCTCCATAGTTATTACAGGATATTTTGTAAACTTGGCCACAGCTAGGGGATTGACGCTTACCAGAGTACAGGTGTAGGCTATTAAACTGCTCCACCGGACATTTCGCTCATATTTTCAGTTGTCTATCAAGTGAGTTTGTTTAAGTTCAAACTATGTTGAGAATCATAACCTTTGTAGAATCCACTTTCTTAATCAGTCAGAATAGTTGACTGGTAATAACTACTACCAGTGCTTTTTATTTCATTCGCTTTCATGGCTCACTACTGTTCAGCGTCATAATGAAGACTTTCGTTCAGGAGACTTCTTCTACTTGAAATTTCCAGAGCTCACTGAAATTAGTTCTTTTGCTGTGACTAGTTTGAGTGAAACAGCAGAAATCCATTGTTATTTATTAACTTTGGCTAAATGCTATCAATTATCTTCAGTGTTTTTTCCAGAGTACAGACCAAATATGATTCTAGGCCTCGTCAGGATAAGTATTGTTATTATATTCCCTAAATATAGATCCCATGTTCTCACTAAAATGCTGAACATGAAATGACTTGTATTCTACATGTGTTTAGTCTCTGGCCTGTGCAAACACATACTAATGCATTATCTGAGCCGTGCAGGAATTCTAGGTAGAGTGACTGTCTTTCAATGGCTCACTTCGTCAATATTTTGAATCTAAGTAGTCTTTTTTCATCCTTTATCATCTTCATTTTAGTAGTCAGCAGGTGAGGTAATGCCTCTCACTATTTTAGAAATTAGCACTGTATAGGAACAGGTTTTCATCTGAATAGATAAAAGATGGTCACTGTTATCATTTAGTCAGGATGTGACAACAGAAATACAAACAGCGGATTTTAAAATGCCAAAATGAATATATCTGAGCAAATGACTTTAGCAGCAAAATAAACAGCTTTTGATAGGACTCATGCTTTTTTGTCTTGATGCAGTCAGTTGATGTTTAAGCGGATAGTATGAAAAGGCATCTATCATCACCACTATCAGTACTTATTCCGCCTGACGGCACACATACAACTGTCCATTGAAAGGTAATCCAGTATTGATTTTTCTTCTGTAACTCTCAAAACCATTTATACATCAGTAGGTTTTTGCGAACTAACATTTGTAGGTTGAATTTGTAAGTTGACGACGTTAGTCAGTTAAGGTTAGGTCAGCAACCACGCTTGGGTCTTGTATAAGTTACCCAAGAAACATAAAATAAACAATACTTCGTATTAAATACTTCAAGTTTCTAGAGAACGATAAACATTTGTGTTGTCCAAATTTAGAACTTGTTACAGGACATGTTATCTGAACAATATCTTGCATTATCACAATTTAGGTATCATTATTCACTCAGGGTAACTATTCAAGTTTTTCATTTCTCAAGTGTTTTGAATTCCTGTATGTCACAACAATATAATGCCACCAATAAGTATGCATTTTCAATTCATAAAGCTTGTCTTCGATAATACTGTTCGACATTTATCCTTTTGGTTTTTGGTTCAGAAGAAAATACTTAAATTTATTCACAACGCGGCTTTATAAACTTTACATATGTATATTTAAAAGTTTTAAGCTCCATCGAATAGAGTCAAAGTATGAAAACGCGTATTCCCCTTTGATACATGTACTCTTTTTTTAAAAGCAATCATTCTTTTATTCTGCAACACTCATTGGAAAATACAACATACATTGTGGAAACTCTTTGTTCTTTGACCATCTTCGATACTATGCTTCAAAAATATCCTTGTCCAATTCTCTGACAATGTACGACCTACCAAATGAATTATCATCTAAGTGAATTTAATTATACTTACATGCATAGTTTTACCGTCTGCTCTTGAACTTTTATACGTAAGTTATTCAGTAGTTCTGGCCAGTTCAACTGCTCGAAAGCTTCTATCCTAAATTACATAACGGATGAGTAGTTAGACAGTGTTCAACTAATATGCTTAGGATATTATTAACATTCCAGAAAATTTTAATTTCAGCACAAAAATGTGAAAATGTGTATGTACGCTTTGAATGAAATTAAATAAGTGATGCACTTCTGATAAAAAATAAATCTGTAAGAAATCAACAAGTAAAACTGTACGTGGTATTATGGTTTCAGTCGCATTCGCCAGCTGTTGATGTTAACAGCACAACAGGCTGTATGTGGATAGATTTAATGGCACAGTTTCTAGCAAAAAAGTGCATCAGACATGAATTTTCCAGTAGTATTAATTTAGAAATAAGTGTCATTTGCAGAAGCTATGGAAGAAGAGTAAAAGCCAATAGGTCGAAGTCAATCATAATAAATGTGTTGAGGTCATTTTCTGGTCGCAACTAGCTTGCTGCATACAGCCATTTGATAACTATTTACACATGTTTGTTTCACAGGACGAAGGTGAAGTTTTTGGTGGAGTTTTTCCCAGTTAACAGAAATGCAGCTGCAAACTGATTAGTACTAATTCATTGGCTACGTAACAACTTTTCCACTATCCTTGACAGACGATTTGTCATCTGTTAAATAATTTATAAACTTAAATAGCCTACTCTGGAATTCGCTAAATAAATAGCAACCTATTAACTACAAAAAAGACTCTCTGTATTGGGGAAACATTTCCCTGTATTTTGACACCAGTTCACTATGAGTCTATGTAGGTAACAGAGATTTTGTGGGGAGCTATCAACTGAACGGAATATCAGCCCATGTGTTCGATAAGTTAACTCGTATCCGTCGAATAAATTCAGTTGGATCCATCGAAGTGATAAAACAAGTGTAAACTTTCTTTCTCATTCCAAGGGTAACGTAGGGCTTTAAGCTGTGGGCTTCATTAGCGATGTTGTTGTTTTTAAAAAGGGGAAGTTATCAGCCTCACGCCTAACCTTCCCTCTTTTCCAGGATTACTATAGTTTGTGGGGTTGTGAACTAGATGAAGTTTAGCACTGCATCGGCAGCGAATAGAACCCAGTAAAACTTCAGTTACTGGTAAATATTTTTGGTTGTTTGGTTTATTGGGATATGAATGAGTTCAACGTATATGTGATTCATCGACGAAGTCGTGAAGCTACAAAGACTGAGATGGTTAGGACATGTGTTACGTATGCCAAGCCATCGCCTCCCTCGACGAGCAATGTTAGCGGATATAGGGTCAGGCTGGAAAAAAGCTAGCGGCGGTCAAACAAAAACTTGGCATCAGTCAATGAAATCCACAACAGTTGGTCTAAGCCACGTAGAAAGGTGTAGACTTCCAGGCTGGGGTCCTCGGGACGGTAAAAATCTATGGTTGGAAACAATTGGTGACATGGCTCAAAATCGTTCTCAGTGGCGCTGGCGCAGATGCATCCACTCCCTGTGACTAATAATCTTCAATGAAACTGTTTTGTATTTCTTTATTACTCCTTTGTCTCACACCTCTGCTCACTGTTTCTATTATGCTTTTCTTGTACTTTCTTCTCTTGCTTCGCGTGCTACACGGAATGTGGCGACTTGAACTTCCTCACATTTGTGCAAAGTTCTATGTCGAAAACAGACAGACAGACAGATATGTGATTCAGTTGTTATGTTTTTATATAAGGATTTTCTTTAGTGCACACTGATGATCCAGGCGGAGATAGATCCTAAAACCCTTGTCATATCACAGGGGAAGAAACTCAACATTCAGTCACTGTAATGATTTCCAGTATTTTAATTTTTAACTCCAATTAATTCTTAATAAAACGCCACTGCAAACCAATATCATTCACAGACTTCACACAACACTAGGGCTTTTGGAAATCCGTCACAAAGCTGATCTCTAGCTGCTTAGTGTTTATAGAAACGTCGCCTTCAAATCCCTACTACTTAGACAGAAGTTAGTCTAACGGGAAAACTTTAGGGGCAATGTGGCTGAAAATCGTTAATCATAGCTCGCGTGTGTATTTCATCCAGTCTTGAAAACATCACTAGTCTTCATTCACATACTCTCCTTATAGTACTGACAGTCGTCTGTTGTATTATTATTAAATCTGTGTTTCTTTGCTTTTAACAGTTTCATGAAGTATAGCAACTTGAACTATTGCATTTCTATGTAAAATTCAAAATTCATTCCTCGATCAATTGTACATTTAGAGTTTTGTAGCATATACTTAGAACGTCAAACTTTCCTTCGCCTAAACATCACTCACTACTAAACAGTGAAATGAATTGCGCAATTTGTTTTCTCCATAGGTAAAGATGAACATATTTTCATATGTAACATATCAGTTTAACATTCAAATCTCATTACTAGAAAATAGACTTTGAAAAAATGATTGAAATTGGTGAGTACCAATTTTTGTTGCTCCGCCTTATCACTAAAAAACCGACTTATGGTTACTCACTGGAAAAGATTCGATGATTCTCGTCACTAATCAAAAAGGTCTGTGTTGCACTATCATTATCATCAAAGTTGAGACTAAGTGTAGAACTCACCTTTCTTCTAAAACTTTGAGCTGGTCTGTTAAGTGATCCAATTCATTCTCCATTTTCTGCATAAATGCTTGTAAGTTATTCACTTCATTGAAATGGTTTATAGTCAAAGAAGGCTCTTCCTGCATTGAGTCAGATAACTTAATTACGTCTTGTTTCAAGTCAGTAATGTTGTATGATGTCTTAAAATAATGAAAAACAAATCACAGTGTTAGTTTGCTAACCATTATCTTGGTTAAATAGTGGCAGGTAAATTTCATATCATTACACTTTTATTGGCTTTTGAAATTTAAAAAAATTTCTATGAAGTCTAAATATCTTCAAACGAAATAAGAACTTAAGAAGTGACAGAATCTAGGGGTCGTAGCGGTTTTAAATGAGATATCGTTATATGAAGACAGGGAAGCACCAGACACAATGTCAGTTTTTTGTAAATGCAGGGATATAAACTGAGACACTGGATGCCTGATCACCAAATCAATACCTTTTAAAAGCACTATATATTTTAGCAACACTTCAGTCACTTGGATGAAAGAATTAGGCGAAGAAATATTTACTTTTCAGTTATATCCTGATATATGGCTGTACTCTAACATATATATATATATATATATATATATATATATATATACCTGTATTTAGAATATCCGGCTGAAAAGGTCTGCCGGAATTTTATGAATTCATTAAATCATGCCTTACTAACCTTTATTGCTCGTTTTAAACACTATTAAACAACCTAACTTAGCGCGTTACGATAAATCTCTCTAGTAAAAAATCGTTGGCGTGGGTCGGTAGGAGATTGTCGCTCCTTCTGGAACACGTGTGTAGATACCGATCATGCACTGGTCCGGGCTCGTGTGTGCTTACGACTGAACGGACGTAGGAAACAGCTGGCGGTAAAACCATTACGCCCCCAGCTCGATCAGGAAACTAAATCCCTATTTGAGGAAGAACTAGCTAAACGCATATCTGAATCCGACAGCTGTGCTCACCCTGGAGAAGCCTGGAAGAATATTCAGTCAGCTATAGATACAGCTGTAAAAGCTGTGAATAAGACAAATCCAAAGGTGAGTAAAAACCACTGGATTTCGACTGCCTCATCCGAACTGATAGATGCTAGAAGACTTATTCCGGCGAGCTCCGAATTCAATGAGGAGCGAAAGCTGCACAAAAGGAAACTTACTAAAAGTCTCCGCAAAGACCGTGAACAGTGGTGGGTGACAAAGGCGAAAGAGATGGAAAAAGCATTGGCGATAGGCAACACTAGGCAACTCTTTAGACTCATCACAGAATCGGGCGGGAAAAGGCAATTCATAAGTGAGACTATTTCTGAGAAAAATGGCTCCTTAATTAGCTCTCAGGATAGACGCCTTGAACGCTGGAAAGAACACTTTGAGGAACAATTTAACTTGCCTACAGCCACACTGAACCTCCCCGCCATCCACCACGTACCCGAATGGGATATAGACACTGGTCCGCCGTCTGTAGGTGAGGTTACAAAAGCTATCAGTAATTTGAAACGAGGCAAAGCGGCAGGACCCGACGGAATTATTCCGGAGGTGTTTAAATATGGGGGTGACATACTAGTTTGTAGATTAACTGAGGTACTAGGCAAAGTCTGGGAATCAGAGACAGTACCATCAGACTGGGGTAAGTCACTCATTATACCGATATTCAAGAAGGGAAACAAGTCCTCGTGTGATAATCATAGGGGGATCAGCCTAACGAACATAGTCTCTAAAATCCTAGGCTCAGTAATCATGCATAGACTAAGCAGAACTCGGGAGGAACAGACAAGGGAAAATCAAGCAGGCTTTAGACCAGGTAGAGGGTGCATAGATCATATCTTCACTCTTCGACAGATTCTAGAACATAGACACACTTTTCGGCGTCCAACAATTGTCATATTTCTTGACTTGAAGGCGGCCTTCGACTCCGTGGATCGAAAGGTACTATGGCAATGTCTGACTGTGAAGGGAGTGCCAAGAAAGTACATTGCACTAATCAAGGCACTCTATTCAAACTCACGTAGTCGTGTAAGGGCTTATGGGGAATTGTCATCTGAATTAGTAACAACCAGTGGTGTCCGACAGGGATGTCCACTTTCCCCATTTCTGTTTAACTTCATCATAGATATGCTAATGGAAGTATCCTTAACTGAACGTAGTGACTTAGGAATCGACTTGTTACCAGGGAATAATCTAATGGACTTAGAATATGCAGATGACATAGTCCTGTTAGGGGAGGATGCTGACAAAATGCAGAGTCTTCTGAACACCTTGAGCAGCAATCTTCGTATGTTTGGCATGCGATTCGCCCCTGCAAAATGTAAGATGCTGCTACAGGACTGGACGACGTCAACCCCTAACTTAGTGATAGGGAGTGAAGTGATAGAACATGTTGACCACTTCACCTACTTGGGAAGTTGTATTAGCACCAACGGACTGATTGGCGATGAAATCTCAGCACGGATCCGAAAAGCTCGAGCTGCTTTCGCTGACTTACACCATCTCTGGCGTAGGCGTGACATCCGGTTATCAACCAAGGGACGTGTGTACTGCTCATCAGTTCGCTCCGTCCTTCTCTATGGCTCTGAAACATGGCCAATACGCGTTGAAGACATGAAAAGGTTGACTGCTTTCGATCATAGATGTCTGCGATCTCTGTCTCACGTTAGGTGGTTTCACAAAATAAGTAATGTTGACGTTAGGCGTAGAGTGTTGGGCAAAGAGGGAAAATCAATCGACGAGGTTATAAAGTTACATAGACTAAGATGGCTAGGTCACGTGGTGCGCATGCCTAACCACCGCCTCCCCCGACGGGCATTGTTAGCTGATATAGGTTCAGGTTGGAAAAGAGCCAGTGGTGGCCAAACAAAAACATGGCATCAATCCATGAAATCCTTGACAGTTAAACTGAGTCAGGTAGGGAGATGCAGACTCCCGGGTTGGGGCCCTCGGGACTCTAGGAATCAATGGCTGGAGACAATAGGTGACATGGCTCAAAATCGTTGTCAATGGCGCAGATGTATTCAATCTCTGTAATCTTTCATATTCCTTTCTACCATTACCCATTCTGTTTCACTCCTATATTTGTCAAACTCTATTAATTCTCTCCACTCATCTTCTTGTCTACCTCTGTGTGCTATTTGGAACGTGGCAACTCGAACTGCTGCACTTCGGTGCCAAGTTCTATGTTGAATCCAGACAGACAGACAGTAAAAAATCAACAAAAATACTGTGTGCTGAGTAAAGTGTGGCGACTCAAACTGCTGCAAATCGGTACAGAGTTCTACGTTGAAACCAGACAGAACAAAATATTTCGTTTTAGTTTCTTCGATGGTCTACTGGACTTTACCATGGTACAAGATCTTTTTATTAAACTGAATGAATTGCTCACAGAGGAGTCAGTGAACGCAGTGAAATGGAGTATGTTCTTTTATCTTGTAAATATTTCGCGATAAACTATATCACCAGTAATTGACTTAAAGTCCTCACATACTGGCAAAATCATCAAAAAGTATTCCTGTAATTATATTCTGACATTTTGATTTCGCAGTTGTTACATAGAGATATTTAAAATTAAGCCTAGTACTTATATATCTGTTGGCACATAACCATCAACTATTTTGGTGAACAGCCTTTATAGTAATACTTTTCACAGATGCTATGAAGATGCTGGAAATAGATTAAATTTTATGGAGGGATATTCGCAGTTATCATCTTATCAGGCTTTCAGGTAGTCCGTGGCATTGTGTTATCTTATACAAATATCTATCATTGCTTAATCAATAACTTATCGGTAGGAAAATCTATTGATAATATTTCCATGTTATGTCTCTGTTCAACGGGCATAAAATGCTTTGAAACTCAGACAATATATTTATTAATAGTATATAGTGATTAGATATGACAGACAACTATTTGAGTCCCACACTAAGAACAGTAGATTGTTATGATTTTTGAACGTAAACTGTTTTCTTCCTTGTGATCATGTTTTGTGTTTCCTGTTGCACTGGATCTGCTGGTGAACATCAGTAGCTCAGTAGCATGGTTTTATATAGATACATACGTTGCGACAGTGTCATGATCAAGATTTGGATATTTACACGTGAGGTATCTTCGCATCTAAAATCTTGTGTGCGACGTTTGAATGAAGATCCAGCAAGCTTACCACCTGTCATTACAATCTTAATTTAAATGTCCAAGAAGCTAGCATCGATTTATAGTCTGTTCAAAGAAATACTACCCGGACGAACATGTCATAGAATTTGTTGACAGAAGAGCCTAACTCCAGTAAATTGTTTCCTTGTGAAAACATATTTTATCCATGACTGTTAATGTGCAGTGCACAATCAACTATTTTTAGAGCTCATTTGAAAAGACCTGAAGAATAACAGTCGCTTTTTCATTAGTGAAAGTATTAGTTATGGCTACAACAGGTATAGGAAACTCGTCACTAGTGTAAGTTGAATTTCAAAATCAATTTTGTGCATATGATTGCGTTTTTGAATTGGTGAGTAAGAACCGTCGACCAAGAACTGATTTTCACTGTAGATAGAGGTAAAAAGGGGATTTGTTGACACCTGATTCCAGTGTAATGTCAGCAGGTAAGCATCACAATAAATAATCAGTCCTTCTGAGAAAATAAAGCAGTGGTTCTGTTGGTATTATACTTACTCTTCCACAACTTATTTACACACCGGGCATACCTAGATTCAAACGCGTGTTTCACTACCTATGAGGATAACTTTCACGTATGTTCTTGTGGACAGAGACCCCAACAACATATTCTGTAAAAACATATGTATTCGCTCGTTTTTATGAAATCTTTACTTTAAACAGTAACTATGGTTTCTGTTTCCATTAGTTATTACAAAATTTCAGGTGTGATATGGGTGGCAAATGAAACAGAATTATAGTGAAACCAATATTTTCTAAATCAAGTTCTGCTACTCCGTTTTCCCTGATCAGTACACTATCAAAGACATCGAACCTAACTAAAAACTGGTCTTTAATCAAGTGGGTCTACTCGGTCTTTGTGAAGAAAACGGGATAACCTCATGAAGGACACAATGCTGTTGCGATTATTTCTTTCCCTTCTAGATGTTACAGTTCATTCTTGATTACTGTTTGATAATATATCAAGATTGGTTTTCCATTATCGATAAACCAAGTCATAGTGGGTGTATGGTAACTACAAAATTAGTCTAAACAACTTCAAATAATCTATGCGTTTACCCAAAATACTCTAATTAAAAAGATAGGTGCAAAATGGTAATGACTACCATTTGCTACCACAGGATTTTAGTAAACACTTTCAAGAAAAATCTGTACAAAACTCCATAGTGGGCTTCATAAAGCCTTTTTTGCAAATTATCTTGTGTCAGTACAACGACGTTTTAGTCACTGTTTCCTTTCCACATATCATTAATAATAATTACCAACTAGTTCCATTATGGATAAAATTTATTTCGATTAAGTCTCGCATTGTTATACAGCAAAATTTACTGAGGACGTTTTGAGCACAATTTATTGCTCACAATCATATCAAGTTCTTGATATTACTGCATAACACTGTGAGACTTTATCGAAATAAATTTCACCCATGATGAGATTATACTCTACCCTAGTGCATACGTTCTATTCTTAAATCACCAACTAGGTTTTCTCTGTCTTCCGCCAAAATCCTTTTAGTTTAAATACGATGGGTGAAAAATTAGAACCAACTGAAATCATACAATAAACTAATACACATCAAACTCACCTTATAGGATTTATTTTCTTCACCCATGATCATCAGAGATTCACGGAGAATAGGATCTTGTTTTTGCACCCTGTGCTCTGGTATTTTGGGCTCCAGCCAGTCTAATAAAGATTTCAGCTCATTCCTTATTGTTTCTTGTCCTTGTTCTTCCATTCCTTTATTTAAAAAAACATAAATGAGGTACATTTACTCCATTTATTGAGTACTTTTAGTTCCAAACATTGTACACTTTGTAGTAAATTTAGCACTGAATAATAACTGATTAGGAGAATGTATATATGGAGAAAAGATGACTTAACATTGCTATTTAAGGATTCACGTTGATATGCTTCTAGATACCATATAAAGACGGAAATAAGCAAGCGGAAGGGAAGCATATATTAAATTTGCAAAATACAGTGCGATGAACCTTTAGAATATAGACAAACTGAGCGTCTGCAGATGAGTTCTGAGAGCAGAACTCATACGTCCATTCGCAGCAAACGCATTAATTTTGAGCATCTTACTGTCTAATTCGGTTTTATCAGCACTCTTAAATATAACACGTTCATTAAAATCTTGAACCAACTTACAGACGATTCATGGAATATTGCTTTCACCAACCTAATCCTACTCCACATGACACCATATACTTCAATATTTGGCATATAAGTTTGTGTAAGACAATTTAAACACAGTAGTTAGCAAATATTTGTAGTCACCTTTTTAGTGGCTTGTTTTACACCAAACAATGTGTTTTATGTTTCTGTTATTCACATTTTAGGTAATGATAACTAAAACACTACATTGGTTTCCCGGATAACCTTTGTCCGGACCTAGGTGTTACGAAAATGACTTGCGATTTCTACACTTGTATACTGCGCGACAATAAAGAAGTATTTGCTGCTGAAAACTTTACTATGAACTGAATACATTTTTGGATAACTGAAAACAGAATAAAGAATGAAGAATGTCACACAAAACAGCATCTACAGTTGAATATTTCATTATTACCACGTCATAAGGTGTACGTCCATTGATATGTTTAATAGAACTGTATCGATTTCCCCAGATTTATTTGTGACAATCAGGATACAGGTAAAATAAGTTAGTTTTATTAGCCTGATACTGAATATCAGTGGAATCTAGGGCATTATTACTATTGTTACCTTGGGTTCTAAATGGAACATAAAGCTTCAATAACACATCTCCACTTTTTTCTGTTTTCTATTCTCCTCTTCAGCCGAGCCCACGACTTCCCACAATCTCTCATCCCCTCCTCGCACGATCTCCTTTATGTCACCCTCAGACCACCCACTCGTATTTTGTCATACGGGTTCCACTCAAGGTAATGCTTAGTGAGCGATTCCATTCGACGGTCTTCAAAACGTGAGTCCAATCCAACCCCATTTTCTTCTGTAAATTTTTCGAGCAATCGGCTTTTGGTTGGTTTGTTGCGAGTGTTTGGTTACTAATCCTTTCTGGCCATTTGATATTCAATGTGGTGCCAGCTGAGGCAGCTGCTGTTAAAAGTCTGCTTTTTGTGAGCACCAAGTTTCTGACTCATACAGAAGAAGTGACTGACTTAAGAATGATGTTGAAAATCCAAGTCTTGTTCCTTATGCTGAGTGCGGAAGATTTCCATACTGGTTTCAGACTGACGATGGCGTATCTTGCCTTTCCTATTCCGACTTTGACATCTTCGTCCGTTACGCCTGTAGATAATACAATGCTTCCTGGCCAGATAAGTGAAGGAAGCAACCGCTGTCAAATCGCTCCCAATGATGATGACTGGTGCTGGGTTTTGTTGCTGCTGGTTAGTTATATTCATCATCTCTGTCTTTTCTATGTTCACCTGGAGTCCTGTTCTCGCTGCTTTTTCAACCCGTTTGTTAGTTTTTACCTGTGTGATATTAAACATAAATCATTTGAGAAATCTAAGGCATACCTAGCTCTGTTACCAAATGTCATCGGCATCTCGTAAAGTGTTCGAACTCAAAGTCGGATAAAACTTTGAGGAAAATCTTGACTGACTCGCTTACAAAAATCAGTGCTGAAGAAATACATGCACAAATAAAAATCGCTAAGTTTATAGTCTTAAAGTTTAAAACAGATATATGTTAAAATAACTTATTGCCAAATTGTGATTACCTGATTCATAGGATCTGAGAGACTGTAGAAATTTAGTGTGTCAAAACACAAAATGTGGGCTAAATCATAATATGAATGTGCGCCCTAATATTATATTCCTACACTACTACTGTTAAAAAATATCTGAACAGCCATGAATTTAGACGAATCTATAGTTGTTTTATGATGCCTAGGCACTACTGTGTCATGTCTATGTATTAAATATTTATATTGTTTACAAAACTGGAGATATTAAATAATTTAAAAAGGGTGGGTGTATATTATTTTGATCTAGACTTATTTGCTGCAAAACAAAGTTTACTATCGAATAATCAAAAGACACTATTTCATATATTACTGCTATTGAATTTCTACAAAACTTATTTGGTGTACTTCTAATAAATGTAGACCATTTTAGGACATGAGATCAACACACCAAATGCTACGTAGTTTTATTATTCCACATTATCATTCAGCTTTCTGCATGATACATTAATGTGTTTTGGCAACTCAGTACACTGCAGAGGACTAAGATGAAATCCACAGAAGACTGTTTAAAATAGTTCTCTTAATATATTGAATCAAGAGATTAATTGTTCATGTGAATTTAAAAATTTTGAAGAAAACATAAACAGTCAAAAGAGATGGTGTCTGTTAAAATTTTCAACTTACTCAAAGTTTCTGTATTTATTTTCATAAAGATGTCAACCTTAAGGAAGAAATAAAGATATTATTTGTTACCTGAGACTTCAGCAGCTTTAAACTATTGCGTATAAGCAAAAATTGATTTCTGGAAATATTAATTTATAGATAGCTTTTACTTTAGGAGGCCAGTTTCCTTACTGTGCTTTGAAACTTCGATGGAACCCATCACAGACGTGTTTACTAGACCACATGAATCACTGAAAGACTTTTTGGGAACAAGAATTTTCTTAAAATTCGAGATTTATTTATTGTTACTTTGTTATAAAGAGATTCATTTGTTTTGAACCAAGGTTCCCCTTTACTGCTTTCATCCTCTTTGCAATGCTCTTTTAAAAATTTGGAAAGTCTATTCGACAGTGGTGAAATGTCCCGAAACACTTGGCTGGATCTATTTACTGAAACAGAAATGTTCACACTACCTAAAGACCTACGTATATCATCCTGAGAGTAAAATGACAAACTCATTGCGATTACTGAAAGGGGTTTTATTTGTCCGCTCTTCGTAATGTAGTTCGATAGATACAAACAAACTAATAAAAACAAACTAAATTAAATGATTAGAGTTGATATATGTAGTGTTTTGTCTCAATTGTTGATTCCTGTTACTTTAGGCAATAAGTTTTAAACGCCCTTTCACAGAAGTCATCCCAGCCTATTCTGGGAGTAGTATGAGTTCCTTCCGACATCCGTCACATTCAAAATCATGTTGTATAGAGGCACTGATTCTTTAGCTGGCATTACTTGGCGTCTTGCTACAGTTCTAGGCCTCTGAAGGATCCCAGTGCAGGAAGTCTCCCCCAAGTTGTTTTAGATCGATCGCAACCAATAGGAGGAGGGTGTTCACTGACCCTAAATGAGCATCTACTTTCGGGTTATGCAAAGGAGTAAAATAGTACCCTCCCGTTAGTATATTTATGTTCAGGTTATGCTGTTCAGGGGTTGTCTATCATTCTGCGATAGCTAATCATGTGCAGATCCAGCTTTCGATCTAGTCATCACAATCGGCTTTATAGTATAGTAATGGCTTTCGTAGAACATGCGTAATTTTCTAAAAACAGTTGAACCGCCAAATTAATCATATATATGGTGACATAGCTGATAATTCGAACTGTATATTTGGAAGGGATCCTGCATGGAGGGAGCACTGACTTATATCAGATGACGAAATATACTGATGTATATATGATACTATAATTCGTAGCATCAGTATGTGAATAAAAGTATTAATAATGGTTAATTCTCATAAATCAGTTTCTACATGATAGCTATTAGCTTGTTCATGTTGCATGAGCAGGCTTCACAAGACTTTCAACAGAAGAGCATTTTGAGTGATATGTGCGACCTGTAAGATTTGAAGTAGAGTTAGACGTCTTCGAAATTGCGCATACTGAGTCCTTATCTGTAATAATTTCCTCGTGAAAGTAATTTGTGGCCTTAGTGTTCGATCCGATACAAATAACGCACCTTTTTCCCTAGTGTGATTTCTGAATTTCCTGTTTTGGTGGTATCTAACATTAGAAATACTTCTTTTGAGATTCTGAGAAGTATACCAATTTTTAGGAGTCATCATCAGAGACTTTCTGCGAATTGAGGACGAGTTCGAACATTCTGTTGGATAAGGAACATGTTATTAAGAGATAAACCGAAAGAGTTCGGATTGACAGTGAGGTCGTAGATGGCCTCAAAAAACTGTCCTCCAACTGTCAGTGTCTAGCGTGGGCTTTTTATAGGTCTTGATTGAAATGGCGGTGATTTACTGACTGTTTCGGTAAGTTGCACTGCACCAGCACTATCACACGGATGGTTGGTGTTGGTGGTAGCCTCGAACTGTGAAGTGTTCATGATACAGTAACTGAAATACACTGCCGTCTACTCTGAGGGCGAGTAATTTCACATCATGTGGGCTGCTTGTATTGGGGCTGAGATTTCACGTTGAGGAAGGAAATTTGGGTTGGGCTACTGATAGAGACTTATATTTCATGTAGAAAGAAGGCCGAAGCGAAGTTTCGTGCGTCATAATCACGACTCATATTGAGTGTGCTCAAGTTATATTAGCGGGAAATAATTCATGGTATTCTGGACTGGGGACCAGGAAAAAGTGGTTAGTCCCCTGCGCTTGAGACCACAGGTGATATTGACCTCTTATTGAGGATTCATTAACCAGTAAGAAAGTGCCTGATGTCTCATTGTACTTGAATGCCAAAGAGATTCTGGACTTATCCGTGAAGTTCGTTGAAATTTTGCTCGGTAAATTTTTTTGTCAATAAATTTTAATAAATTCGTGTGATATGTTTTCTGGATCGATAGGAATTCGTATTACCTGACTAGTTGTGTCGGTTTCCGCGTCCTGTGATCTGACTCCAACCAACTCTTAGCGTACAGATTACAATGCTTGGTGTTTCATGTGAAATACGTCAAAATATGGCTATAATGCGAAAGATGGGATAGTTAGGGGGTAATTTCATCTACACAAATATTTTACTTCATGTAGAAGCATCACCTTTCGGCATAGTATCATTCAGCGTAGACTTCAACATTCAGGATATCAATGTCGCTACTTTCGTGTGAAGAACAGTGCTGTTTGACAAAAGAATGCTATCATGGGAATCACTATAAATGCTAACAGAACCTTCTGTGGGAACAGATATTACCATGTAGGTGTGTCTTTGGCTGGATGGGTGCTTGGACAGGAATTATCGTAATTTGAAAGCTTATCTCTAAGTGGGTTTAATATATATCTACACTGACTGATGCAGTGTAATATGGGTTTTGTGGATTCAAAGCATGAGAAATATCTTCACTTTATTAGTACTGCGCCCTTTTATGCTTAGCTTACTGCTAAGCTAACAAATGTAGGTGGTTCTCACGATCATTGTAAGTGCAGCGCAGTGAAGAAGGCAATTACTCGTTTAATTCTCCTCACTGTTTCACTTAACGCATTAATTGAGTATGCAGAATGATTATACACACGGATTGTGTTTATTATGAGAAGTGAATCTAGTTAGCTCTGTTGTTATCAGTCTATTGTCTGTTCTGCCGTTCCCACTGACACTGTATACTTAGTGCTACAATGTTTTTGATCACCAATAGTGGAGATGAATTTCCCCTGAAATTTCCACTTGCATGAAGCAGTACAGATGCAGTATCATGACTGAGTGTCTAGGTTATATTATATGGTATTGCTATCCTCATTAACATAACAGGTCTGTGTATCTTAGAATATTTTAAGTATCTCGTTTGACGTAAACAGAATAGGTGTGAAGTTCATTTCAAAGTAATCTTGATGAGGGAATGACTCCTCGATAGTGTTAATGTTTTGAGATACTGTCTTGAAATTTCGGTATAATCCTCTTATTCTTGAAAACATATGAAGTCTATTCATCCGTACAGAGTGTCAATGCAGTTGAAGATTGAACGGTCAATGGCCAGACTTAAACATCACGTTCTGTTGAGACTCCGTTTGGAAAGTTTTTTGCTAATAATTTTTGATAAAATTGTGTTATATGTTATCTAGATTGTTGGGAATTCCCATTTACTGGCTAGTTATGCTGGTATCCGCGTCATGTGATATGACTGCAACACACTCTTAGCATATTGGTTGCAATTGCTAATCATTAATGATTAGTGTTTCAGGTGGACGGTATGGGGAGGGAGATAGGATATTTCTAGGGTAATGTCATCTACACTAATCGTTTACTCCATGTAGAAGCTAGACTTTTCGGCATGGTATCATTCAATGAAGACTTCACGTCTCTGGATATTAATTCAGCCTATTTCCGTGTGAATAACAGTCCTTTTGACAAAAGAATTCTATCAGTATATGGAAATCACCTATAAATGCTAACAGAACCTTCTGTGGGAACAGGAGTTACCATGTAGATGTGCTTGTCAATTTATCTGTGGTTGGACAGGAATTATAGTAAGTTGAAAGGTTATCTCTAAGTGGATTTAATAAATATTTGCACTGATTGGTGCAGTGCAATATGGGTTATGTGAATTCAGTGTATAAAAATATCTCAACTTTATTAACATTGTGCCATTGTATGCTTATAAGCTATAGCTGACTGATGGGCTAACAAATGTAGGTGGTTCTCATGATCATTGCAAGTGCAGTGCATTGGAGAAAGCAATCACTCGTCTAAATTTCCTTACTGTATCACTCAGTGCATCAATTCTCTGTATAGTATTATTATACACTTGGATTTTGTAGTTCATGAGAACTGAATCCAGTTAGCTCTATTATTATTAATCTATATCTGTTATACCATTCCTCGTGACACTGTATGCTTAATGCTTCACTATTTTTGATCACCAATAGTGTAGATGAATTTATCCTGAAATTTCCATTTGCATAAAGCAGTACAGATATAGTCTCACGATTGAACGTCTAGGTCGCATTATAATATGATATTGTTATCCTCATCAACACAATAGGTCTGCATATCCTACAATATTTTAAGTTCTTATGTATGCTGCAGCAACATGTTAACACTGTGTATAGCTGTTTAGAGCTGAGGCATGCTCAGCTCATATCTGATTGCTATGGTTTCCGAGATTTTTGTAGTAATTTCCGTAATTTCTGTAGGATTCATAAAACTATGCTCACTACACGTTACTGAGATTGTGGATCAATTTCTAAATTATACATTTGTGATACCTCATTTAATGTAGCCGTATTTAGTATGAAGTTGATTTGCAAGTAGGTTTGATGAAAGAGTGACACCTCAACAGCATGGATATCTTATAGGATGTCTTGAAATTCGAGTATAATCCTCTAATACTGGAAAACATGAGGTCTATTTATGTATACGGTGTCAGTATAAAAACCAGCTGTGTACTACAAATACCTTTATTGGCATGAGATATTATTTCTTATTAACAGAATCAGCGTATTTATAGCGCGTGCTAATATGAAGAATTATCTTTCATAGCTTCATGTTGTGCTAGTTCTTACATGTACTTTATTTTCTCCAGGTATACGGAGGTTGTCGAATATGAAATCAGCGGAAATATCATTCGGTCAAACTAACGTCAATAACCTTCATCAAAACTTTCTTTTGTAAATTAATGAAGTTTTTAATAAACTCTTAATTCCTACTTCATCTAGACGTCTTCAGTTCGTCGCCATACTGTGTGCTTTTTTAATAAGTGAATTCGGAATAATAAACGCTAAGCTCAGTTAGTGGAATGGAGATTTACTATAGTATTATGAGACTGTTACTTTAGTCATTAATTGGATTTCGTGTCTGTTTATACATAATAGCACATTGTAAACGCAAGTGGGATTTCGTAAGTTGAAAAATAATTCTGTGCTGTTCTATACTCTGAAGTCTCCTTATCTAGTCATTTGCAAGCCTGTATACTGTTAAGCGCCAAGTATGTAATAAATGAAAATGTTGTAACTTAGGCTTGATAGATACTTCAATAATCTGTTAATATGCAGTGACGTCATCAAATAGACTGTT